GAGCTCTCTCAAACTCTGCAGCTTGTTACTCAGACTCTCAATCGGCTTTGGATCTGCGCGCCTCCAAAGACTGCAAGGGCTACCAGCTGAAGGACATGTGAAGCTGAATACGAATCTCAGTACAATGTACTAGTACTAGCTAGCACAGGTAGTAATACGAACGACCATAGGTCGGTAGCTCAATTGCCAGTGGATGTCCGGCTTCACATGAAGCACAATTGTACGATGGGACAGCGTTGGGGTTGTCGGCGGATCCAGCGTTGACTTCGTTTGAGAAATCCTCCTCGAGGAGGCGGCAGCATGTCAGGGGGCTTGGCAAGGTCAAACAGAGCCGCAACGTGGATGCTGGATACACGAGTAGTTGATGTTGGAGTGTATTTCAATGGTTTACAATGTGCTAATACAGAAGAAGTAATAACTGTACTGGGCTACTGGAGTTGCGGGAGTTTGGGAGGGTAGAAGGGTCTTTCAGAAGTCGGCAAACATAGTTTCTACACGATTGTGTTCGGAATAGTAAGGATTTGTTTAATCTTCATAAAGCCATTGTCCCCATAAACGACGTGAAAATGCATCAAATAGTCTTTCAGAAGTCGGCAAACATATTTTCGACACGATTGTGTTCTGAATAGTAAGGATTTGTTTAATCTTCACCAAGACTCAATGTAAATATATAAGTATTTCTCTCAGCATACGAGTTGACCACATGCGATGATTCAGGTCTCAAAGATTATTTAAATATCAGCGAGAAATACGTCTACAAGGTTCATGCACTTTCTTTCAGAAGTCGGCAAACATAGTTTCGACACAATTGTGTTCTGAATAGTAAGGATTTGTTTAATCTTCACAAAGAAAGCATACATTTCATGTACAAATCGCTCGGACGGAGATTCCATCAACAAATAATAGTGTCCGCAAAGGCGTCTCCAAGGAGCGACCTATTATGGATCTCAAACTTTAGAATCACGCGGATCTCATGTTTCTACTCTGCTCTAGCGCCTAAAATCAAAAATGATCGATCTGTGCCACGATTGGGTAGTCACCCCAGCGGTGCTCGGAGCCAACCAAATTCGCGCAGGCCAACCGACCTTTCCGGACTCCTTAACTGTATCCGGAACAGACGGTCAAGTTATAAATTCGTACGTGGGGAACAAAAAAGAGGGGTGCTCGCAAATTGGCTTTTGCAGCAATGTTTGATAGACGTTAGATCGACTATCCCGCAGTAAAGCGTTTACTCGTACTTATCTTTCGCCTTTTACTAAAGATTACCGTGGACGTCTTACAAAAAATGCGGCTTCACTAATTTCTGACCTCCCTCCGGGAGGACCCTCCCATTCTTATGACACAAACTCTTGCATTTACACCGCCACAACGTCTTCTTTCTATTATGTGTCCCTCTGGTCACCTCACAACGCTCATTGCAAGCGTCTGTACGACCCGTGTCGAGCTCTGCACATAAGGCAGGGGGTCCCAGGGGTCTAGTGGTGGTTTGTGAGGAGGTTCGTCGAGATTGGTGAAAAGCGACTTAGTGCCCTCGATATGCTACCTTGAGAAATGGTAGTTTAACAGCAATCTACTACGTCGAAGCGTTGAGATAATATCTCAACTCTCATATTTGAGTACGTCGCGCCACACAGCGTTGGCGGTTCTGTTTAGAGCAATATTGACAGAATTGCTAAGAACATGGTAAGAATCTTCGCTAATATTGAGAAAGGTCTGGGAAGTGAATTGCATACCAGCCGGTATGTCGTATCCGGTTGGCCGCTTGGCACTTTGCTTTTTCGCCTCTGTTCTTAGCCCATCACCATGCTCGCGACAACGCTCCGCCGCCACTTTAGCTCGGTACGTGCCCCTTGTCCGTCACGTGGCATTGACGCGTTGTGGTGTAGAGCACGCGCCCCTTCCGCGTCCTTGGCATCCAGCAGGTAGCCGTCGGCGGCCTCGACAAGGGCGCGCTCAAGCACCTCTGGGTCGACACGCTGGGCCTCACGTACAAGTCGAGCTTCAAGAGTGAGCGCGAGAACGTCGACGAAGACATCCTTGAAGCCGGGAAAGGTCCGTTCGCGGTCGAAGTCGACATCATGCAGCCCATTGATGCCACGAAGGCGCCCAAGGTGCATGTGCCCCAGCTCAACCACGTGGGACTCTGGATCGACGACTTGCCCAAGTGCGTGGACCACTTGACGAAGCAAGGCATGCGTTTCACGCCTGGTGGCATCCGCAAGGGCGCCGCGGGCTTTGACGTCGTCTTCCTGCACCCCAAGGGCAACGACGCGTTCCCGCTCTCGGGTGAAGGCGTCCTTATCGAGCTCGTGCAAGCGCCGGCGCATGTCATCCAAGCCTTTGACGCGATCAAGGAGTAGAAGCGATTCCTTCGTAATGTACATGCTTTCTGTGCGTCGTCCAAGGTCAAAGAAGTGATACCAAATGGGCTTCCGCTCATCGAGCCCATCATCGGACCACGGAGGGAACATGACAAGGCCGTCAAGCATATAGAAAGGACAGGCAGTGTCGCCAACCGACCCGATCGTTGGTGCTGGCCGCCAGACGCCACCTGACGCTCGAGTGGTTTCTGCTTCCTCGAAGCCAAGCTGTGTTGTGTGGTCGAAGAAGAGACTATCCATCGGGGCTCAGACGAGATTCCAGCCCAATGCGCTGGCTGCTAGGAATGTCATATTGTACATATTGTACATGATCGAAATGGACGGCGTACAACGGACTACACAAAAAGTGTGCTACGAACGCGAGTGCTGGGAGATCGCAACGGGCAGGCGTCGTATCCGGATGGCCGGATAATGATCGCGCGGGCCTCGACCAGTGATACGAGCGAAAAGATGCAGAGCCAAGTGGTCCACGACGGCGGCCCGGTCGAGTTTACGAAGGAGTCGCCGGCGCTCAAGCTTGACGTGCTCAAGACGTTCAACCGTGCACGCGCATGCAACCTCCACCTGCCCCATGGCACGGTGCACACGCCGGTCTTCATGCCCGTGGGCACGCAGGGCACGATCAAAGGTACTCGACAGAATCGCTGGCGTTCCAGTCGCTCAGCCGCGCACCGTAGGCATCACGACCGAGCAAATGGCTATGCCGCCGATTGACTGCAAGATCTTACTCGCCAACACGTATCATTTGGCTCTGCGCCCGGGCACCGACCTCATTGACGGTAACGTGTAGCCGACGAGATGGTCGACTCATGCATGGGCGTAGACATGGGCGGTCTTCACCAGTACATGAACTGGAACCGCAACATCCTTACCGACTCGGGCGGCTTCCAGATGGTCTCGCTGCTCGAGCTCGCGCAAATCACCGAAGTCGGCGTCGAGTTCCAGGTACGATGTATCGACGAGGATCGAACCTGGTGCCATTGGCACATCCTTTCTCTAGTCGCCGGTCGATGGTACCAAGATGCTGCTTACGCCTGAAATGAGCATTGCGCATCAAAACACATTGGCGCCGACATCATCATGGCGCTCGATGACGTGGCGCCGTCGACGATCGAAGACGACGCACGGTTCCTCGAAGCCACGGACCGCACGATGCGCTGGATCGACCGGTGTATCGCCGCGCACAAGAAGCCCCACTGCCAAAACCTCTTTGGCATCGTCCAAGGTACGACGCCGTGCTCCTTACCGTACGAGGTACAGATAGACGTATGCAGGCGGTCTCGACACGTCCGAGGGCGGTCTTCGCGACCGCTGCATCCAAGGCATGATCGAACGCAACCTTCCGGGGTACGGTCGAGCCACAATAAGAAAAAGCGTCAGTCGGATACATGTAGCTATGCGATCGGCGGTCTCGCCGGCGGCGAAGACAAGACGTCGTTCTGGAACGTGGTTGCCATGTCGGCGGAGCGGTGCGCCCTTTCCATGCAAAGTGCCCTACTACATGATTGTCTCACCTTTCGGTGCGTAGGCTGCCGGCCAACAAGCCGCGGTACCTCATGGGCGTCGGCTATCCCGTCGACCTTGGTACGTCTCTACGCTCCTCGTATCTCCTGTCTTACGAATGTCGCGGCTAGTCGTATGCTCGGCCCTTGGTGTCGACATGTTCGACTGCGTCTACCCGACGCGCACAGGGCGTTTTGGCACGGGCATCACGTCCAAGGTATTAATACCGCATCGCATCGATATGCCTCGGTCTCACCCATGGCTAGGGTCTCTTGCGGCTCAAGCTCGCCGAATTTGCCAACGATATGGCGCCGCTGGACCCAGGTGAATGGTTCTTTCTGCTGCAGAGGGCGCGTCTGAAAAAGGCGTAGACTGCGCGTGCTACGTCTGCACCAAGTACACGCGCGCGTACTTGCATCAGGTCATGAAGACGGAAGGGTCGATTGGCCCGCAGCTCGTGACGTACGCACCTCTGTCGGTCTCGTGCTCGAAGCTCACCTTTTGGTTGTCCGTGTAGATACCACAACATTACGTACATGCTGCACCTCATGTCGAACGTGCGGGCCGCGATCCTCAACGAGGCTTTTCCCGCCTTTGTGCGGGCCTTTATGAAGGCGTGGTTCCCGACCGAGCCCGTCCCTACGTGGGTCGTCGAGGCGCTTCTCGTCGCTGGCATCTCGCTCGACGAAGCGTAAGCACGCATCCCGAGATGATCCGACGAGGAACGTGTGCCCCGAGACAGATAACCTGCACGAATACCAACTGTATAAACAGTTTGTGGATTTGCTAGCCTACTGCAATGCTCACATACTGTGCTCTTCCAGTGATGGCAGCTTGCTACAATTGTAGCAGCAACGCTCATCATCAACTGGAACACAATAGTGGCTGCGAGGAGTTGAAGACAAGGTGGATGAGCGCATGCTAGACGCCGTTGTAATCTATGCGCCACGTGCGAGGACCATTCTACTACGTGGCGGACGGCAGTCGCTTGGGCCGCGATCGAAGATCGCAACGGCCTTCTATCCGGATAGTACTTCCGCCAATCCGGATGAGGTCGGTCGACGCATTTGCATCGGTGGAGCTTGGACGTTGATCGGAACCATGTCCCGCAACTCGCTACTGCGCCGCCTGGTCTTGACGGCCGAGTCGGGCGTCCTATCGGCGAAGCAACGTACGTCATCCTTCGTCGTCGTGGTCGTTCATGCTCGTGGGTGCGGTAGTCATGGGCCTGCGCCTCAATGTGGCGCCGGAAGCGCACGTGTTTCGTTTCGACAAGGCCGAGGCGACCGACGGCTGGCTCGTGTCGAGCGACCGCGCCATCGGAGGTACAGCGTGGCATCACGCGCCGTCGCCTCACGCCTACGCTAGGCGAGTCGACGTGCTCGTTTGAGTTTGTGCCCACGGCGGACGATAGCGACAAGGAGGCGCCCAAGGTTGGTGCTGGTACATTCTTCTCGATGGCCATACCTTGGAGCGCTCATGGCTCGCGTAGCTGTCTTCTCGGGCCGCCTTAGCTTGTCCGTGCAGCCGACGGAGCAGCATGTCGTGCGCAGCGGCTACTGCGCGATTCGCGGCAACGTACCGCGCGGGCTGCACCTCCACGGCTACGAGGGCTTGGCCATGCGCATCAAGACCGACGGCCGCACGTACCGCATCAACGCCCAGGCCGACGGGTGGAACCCCCATGATCTGTACATGGGCTTCCTCAAGGCGCCGGCGAACAAGTGGGTCGAGGCAGAGGTAGTCGAACCATGCGCGTTGCGTGGATTAACGAGCTGGTGCTAGCTCGCGTTTTCAGACTTCATCTTGACGTCGCGCGGCTACGTGCAAGTGGACGACCCGGCCAAGCTCGACCCGTCCTCGCTGCGCACGGTGGGTCTCCAAGTACGCGTGCATCATGTCACTGGCACGGCTAGATCGGTATCGCGCTCGCCGACGACAAGGAAGGGCCCTTTCAGATTTCGATCGAGTGGATCAAGGCGGTCGAAAAGGTCGACACAACCAACATCGCGCCCAAGCCGCGCGTGTCGCTCAAAACGTACGCGATATGGTAGTAGGTACGAGGCGCTCACGCACATCGTAGTGAGCTGCTCGACGACGACGAGATCGCGCCGCTCGAGGACGACGACCAGCCCAAGGCCCGCCGGCCGCGCAAGTCGGACCTTGTCATTTAAGCGCCACGGAGACTACGACTGCTAGATAACATGTGTGCGAATGAATTATTACGATGTGGCCTGTCTCTTCTCATACTTCGTCTTCACGCAGGAGCATGTTGGGGATGCCATCGACGATCGGAAACTCTCGGCCCGACTCGGGGCACGTGAGCGTGCCCTTCTTGACGTGCACGTCGAGCAGCGCGTGCTGGACCTTCTTCAACACCTCTTCGTTGGCCATATCGGCCTCGGTCATGGCCGATGGCAGGCCGTCGGCAACGCCGAGCGCCGTGGCCGCGCCGTGAAAGGCGGCATAGTCGATCTTGGCGAGCATCTTCTTGACAAAGTCAGCGTTAAAGTCCGAGGCGACGACCTCGGTCTCGTCGGCCGAGAGGCGCAGCGGGAAGCCGTTCGAGACGCCCTTCTTGTTGCAGTAGAGCATGTTGTGCGTGATGTGCGTGATGAGGCGCATGGTGTGCTGGCGGCCTTTCCGAGAACTAATACTCCGCTGCCACCAACCGCTGGTCCGCTGCGTCATCCGGATAATCGGACTCTGCCACAGACGCATCACTGCGCACCGGCATCGGGCCGAGGTTCCAGCGCGTCGCGTTCAAGAGGTGGCAAGAGGTGTCTCGCCTGTGGTAGGTATAGCGGCGGCCTTTGGCCTATGAAAAGCATAGCGCGACGAGCCCAAGGTGGCAAGAGGTCGGGGCGTGAACAGGACCGACATTGACGATGGTACTGTGTAGATACCTGAAGCATAATTTTTGCGGGCCTTTTGCCGTCGCTAGTGCGGTGATGCGTCGACGACGTTATCGCTCCGACGTATGCAGTAAGCGCACCACGCAGACGACGGACGATGCAATTGTAGAGTTGGACCGAGGCCGAGGAGTCCGTTGCCGACTGTGTTTCGCGGCTGCAGATTCTAGGGACATCCTACCGGCACGTGCCGTTGTCATCCATACCATTTCTGAAGTACCGGCATATGCAAAAGATTCCTCCCACCTCCAGTGAGCTGTCTGGTCGTGATCGTAGATATCGCTCGCCTGTCGTTGTTTAGACATACATCCCTTTAACTAAACGTAGCCAGCCGAGCGTCTGCTGTAGCGCGACCAGCCAACACACGAGCCTTGTAGATGTGTTCATATTTCTGAACAAGCAGAACGCGGATGGTGTACGCTTGCGATGGGGGTCGCTGATGTGGCGAGCTGGCGTGCCAGCTACTACTGGTGTGCATCTCTGGGTGGTAAGATTGCCATCGCGCGCTGGGATTGGTTGGTGATTTTTTATTTTAACCAATCGAGAGCGTCGGACGCGGCTTGCACTTGCGGTGACGCAGTCTTGAAAACAGCATGCCGATCCGAGCAGCCGAGACAGTCTTCCGCGACGGCGTCTTTGACGGCAAAGTCGTACGGTTACCGGCGCCATGACGTGGCACGCTGATCTGCGAGTGTAGGCCATCGTGACGGGCGGCGGCACGGGTATCGGCAAGTGCATCGCCCACGAGCTCGCGTCCCTCGGCTGTTCCGTCGTCATTGCCGCTCGGTGCGTCGCCGTCTTGCACGTTCGTATGGCATGCTGGCGTGTCTAGCAACCTCGAGCGCTTGAATGCGGCGGTTGCCGAGATCAAGAGCGAGCTCTCGCCCAAGCACGCGGCCCGTGACTGCGTCTTTGCCGTGGCGTGCGACGTGCGCAAGGAAGACGACGTACGCTCTACATTTGTGCACCGACGAAACTCCATTGCGTCGTTAGGTCAAGCGCTTGATGGCAGCGACACTGGGAAAGTACCATCGCATCGACTACCTTGTCAATAATGGTGGACAGCATCCTACTCGTGCGGTGACTCAAGAAAGACGCGTGTAGCTGGCGGGCAATTCATTGCACCATTTGAAGATGTGACGCTCAAGGGCTGGGAGGCGGTGCACCGCCTTAACTTGTGCGACTTATAGTACGCGATGCACTCTCACGTGCGACACTAGGACGGGCACATTCCTCGTCACCAAGTACGCGTACGAGGCGTACCTCAAAGAACACGGCGGGTCGGTTGTCAACATCCTCGTGAGCATGGCGAAAGGCTTTCCGGGCTCGAGCCACAGCGGGTCGTCGCGCGCCGGCGTCGAAAACATGACCAAGTCGCTTGCGGTCGAGTGGGCGCCGCGCGGCATCCGCCTCAACGCGGTCGCGCCCGTACGTCGAGTCGCCTTGGACTGGATTGAATGGCTCGCGTAGGGCACGATTCTGAGCTCGGGCGTCGGCAACTACTTTGGCGGCGCTGCGCTCTTTGAGAAGCTGGCGCGCAAGTTCCCCGCGCAGCGCATGGGCACGGTCGAAGAGGTGTCGGCAGCCACGATTTTCTTGCTGTCGCCGGCCGCCTCGTTCACGACAGGCACGACTGCTGTTGTGGACGGCGCCATGTACCTCGAGGGCAACTTCTGGGACCTCACTGAGCACGACAACTTTCCCGTGTATGGCAAGAGCAAGCTCTAATGGACGGTGCCTCCAGCACTGCATGAACTACGCCCTGTCATCGACGACTCTACCCCTCTTGTGTATAACCATAAAGCGTGGCATTGAACAACCATCATCGATGCACAGGACGATGGCACGCGGTCTGTTGATGGCACACAGGGTGTCTAGGTCACTGACGACGTGGTCAAACAACGTACTGCAGTAGCTTGCTGCACTCTCGACTCTATTACCTTCAAGACAACAAGGGTTGAATGCCCTTGCCAGTATGTATGAGTCGTGGTGCTGGTCACATGTGCGTATGACGTGGCAAGCGGAGATATGCATTTCTAAAGGTCCTGTGCAAAAGCATGATCGCAACGGGTGTGACCTTTCGGGAGCCGTCGCCAGATTCCAAGATGACGACACGAGGCGCGTTCAAAATCCCCGACACGTCGGCCGACTACCTCTCGCCGGGCCCGAGCACGTTCGACTCGCTGCACCATGGCAGCCTCACCTCGGACATGTCAATGTTGGACGACATTGACCCGAGCCTCGGTGCGTCCTGACCGCTGCGATCGCGGTGCGATGCCATGACTATAGCGGGTGGCTACCGCGTCGTGTACGACCGAGAGACGCCGTTCGAGCTGCGTATTCAGGTCGCCCGCGCGCCTTCCGATACCAACCTGACGCATATGTGATAGACGGACAATGCGCCGCAGCAAGTGGGCACGCTCGAGGCCATCAAAGTCAAGATTCTGCTCCTCGTACTTCTTTCTCACAGTGCGTTCATCGTGAATTGCATGCGCGTGATTAGGGCGACGAGAACGACTTGAAAGCGCTCAAGATCGAGCTCTCGACCGAGTCCGACTTGTTCTTTTACTACACGCACATTTGCGACCTCGACGGCTTCCAGATCGTGCAGGAGCAGCAAAAGCTCATGGTCGACTTTGCCGACTACGCCAACGTGCTCGTGCGTATGTTGAACAACTGCATAAAGGAGCCACACAACCACATTGCCGTGTACCTCATGCAGTCGGACGGCCGCGCGCGCCTCGACTTTATCCAAGTACGTAGTACTACGAGCGATGACGATGCCGACGACGACGAGGGCTCACAAAAACAACGCGTAGAACATGGAGTACAAGTTTGTCGAGCTCCTCTCGGTGGACTTTGCCCGCGCGCCCGAAGAAGTGGTGCGCCAGCACATTACGTTCCGCTACAACACGGTCAAGGTAAGGCGATTTCGTGCGAAAAGGGTCTGACGCAAGCGAGGATAGAGTCGCGTGTCTGCGCTCCAATCGCGGCTGCACGTACGTTGAAGGCGCATCCCCGCACCGCATCGAATGATGTCCTTCTCTCGACTCAAATGGATGCGTATAGGAAGTCAACAACATTGTCAAGGTGAAGAATCCATCGCTCCTGCTTCAAGTACGTCGCAGAGACACGGCGTGTCGCCCCTTTCAGCGCCCTGACCAATGACTTTGACCTAGCTGCAAAAGGCACCGCCCCCGGCTGTCCACCCCAGCGGCACCCACGCAACGGCCGGCAGCTCCCGCCTCACGACGGGTCGGTTCCACTAGGTTGCCCGTTCACTCCCGTGTTATGCTCGGAATCGAGGATACCGATGCGTCGATGTGCAGCATATAAAACGAAATTCACGAGAGGATGCACGGAAGCTTCTGGTTCCGGTGGAGGAGAGTGGCGCGGGGATGTACCCGTCATCTCGTCGGAAGCGCACCGGCGTTCTCGCCTTCAAGAATCCATGGAGCTCCTCCAGCACGTCCGCGATGTGGCGCTTCGACAAACCCTGTGGCAAATCATACCTTCTGGAATGGAATACTGTGCATTGTCTGGCCCGCTTCAAATTAGGAGTAGCTATCATTTGGAGTCTCTATAAATCGATTGAACGTCACACCAGATTTGTTGAGTTTCGGCGGTTGACGTTCCGGCGTGCGCCACAACTGTCGTCGCCGATTGGCCGGAACGTCCGTTTGCCGAAATCGCGCAGCCGCAATTGGTTGCTTTTCATCCAATCATATGGTGATTCGCAAACGCCATGGATTTGTCTAGCTGTTTGTATGTGTTGCAAATCCAAGCTGATCCAACGTGGCAGCCCCAAAAGCTCCGCGAAGCTCCTTGCACCTGGAAGAAGGTCTACGCTGAAATCGTTGAAGCTGCAAGCTGCCATTGCAATCGCTCGCCCGTCATGATTCTCTGCGAGGTTTTTCATTTCCCAATTGCCTCACCGAGAACAACTACGATGGACGAGAAGACCGACTACTCGCTCGTGCAGGACCAGTCGTCGCTGCGCAAGAAGGTCACGTTTGGCGTTCTTCTTTTCGTGTCCATTTTTGCCATTGGTCTCGGCGCCGGCGTCATCGTGCAGGAGGTCAGCCACAACAACATCGAGGGCCACAACTCGCAGCTCACGGTCACGGGCGACGTCAACTCGTGCTACGGCGTCCATTTGATGGCCAACGGCGCCAGCATCGGCGACAGCAGCGTGTGCCCGGGCGCCAAGAAGACCCAGTTCCTCGTCAAGAGCATCCCGACCGCCGTCAAGTTTGACATTCCGGCGTCGCAGTGCTTTGCGAACGTCGTGTATGCGACCAACCAGACGCTCGAAGGCTTCAAGGGCCCGACCTCGATCACGATCAAGAGCGCGCACTTGGCCGCCAAGCTCGGCGACAACTCGACCGCGACGGCGTGCGCGACAGGCTATAGCTTCACCAAGGCGACGACGTTCTCGCTCGACTTGGTCGCGCTGAAGGGCGTGAACGGGTCGCTGCCGTCGGACAACGCGACGATCCTCAGCAGCCTCTCGGTTTAAGCGCACCCAGCCCCATCTTTTTGTACATCTCCAAATATATATGCAGTCGGTTCCGATGGATTTCCATCACCTTGTCTCTTGGCGGTGATGTTCCGACGTGGCTAAACACACGCAACTCAGCTTCGGGCGTCCGGACGACATCAACGACAACGAGACACCACCTTGTAGGACCGCGGCGACATTACAAGACAAAACTGCATGACTCGCCTAGCATATCCGTGCGCAACAACATAGTAGTAGCATTGCCGAGCCATTTTGGATGGACCGGTTCGGTGCACTGTATTACCTGCCGTCCCATCGAGCTCCGACCCGTGACGCTAAGATTGGTGCGATTCACTTTGCTGCCAAGACCCAAGGGTGGGCTGCTTGATGCATTTCGTACAGGTGACTCAGCTCATAAGCCGCGATTGCTTGATACTGAGCTCATAAGCCGCGATTGCTTGATTTTTAGAGGCCCCAGGAGACCAGGATGCACTTTAAAAGGACGCCGGGCCACCGAGGCCCGGAGCGCGAGAGCATTCAGGGTTGGTGTGGTGCCACGTCACGGAGGCGGCCCGCGGCACCATGACAGCAGCACGTAGGGCATTTCAAACGAAAGTGAGCGATAGCACACTACATTATTCATGGGGTATAGGTAGTAGACGACTGTATTCGAAGATCGCTTTCTCAAATGCCGTTGTCTTGTGCCCGTTCTTGAAATTGTTGGCCTTGTAGAACTTGTAGAGCGGGCATTCCTTGGCGTCACTCGTGCGGTGAGCACGATTTGGGTGCTTGCAGATAGGGCACGGTAGCATACGCTTGGGGGCGCGGCTCGCCTTGCGCTTGATGAAGCTCGTGAGGCTGGTAGTCGCATAGACACCCACAGAAGGGCTCTGCACGGGCGCTACTTCAACGAGCACTTGGTCGCAGTCGGTGCGCACAGCCGCTTCATACTCGCTGCGGGTCGCATTTGTGTTGCTGCTCGTGGCACTCTTCGGCTTGACTTCGAGACGGGGCGCGGGCGCGCTTACTTCGGCGAGAGTGGCCAAGCACCGAAGGAGCGAGTTTAGCGACGGCAGCGGCGCCGACGGTGGGAGGTGCGACGCTTCATGCCGCGCCAACGGCGGCAAGTACGGTCGGTCGTAGTCGTGCTGGACCATCGAGCTGGACGCGGCCGCGAGCGACTGGCCAAGCGGCGGCGGAAGGATGCTATGGAGCACGGGCAGCGGGATCGGCGACAGCTCCTTCTTCGTGCTCGACTCGACCTGCTTGGTGTGGCGGCAGCAGTAGCCGCCCGTGCACGCGTCCGCCTTGCAGCTTTCGACGCGGCACTCGCAGTCGCCGCCGTGGCACTCGCAGCCGCCGCCGTGGCGGACGCACGTTTGCTTGGCCCGCGCCATCTTGGTACAGCCTTCCTCGATGCACTGTTTATTCGTGTTGCCGGCGCGCGCGTTCATGACGCAGCCTTCGAACTGACGTTTTTCCATTCATGTTGTAGACATGGACAGTCGACGGGCTCGGCATCCGCGTCCTCTACTTCATCGAGGCTGCCCATAGATAAGAACATACAAAGGCAAGCGGTTGGTGCTCACTTATCGGGGGGTGCGAAGGGCAATTGGCTTGGAGATGCACTTGCGGATGAGCGAGGCTCTGCAGCCTCCACGGCGTTGGAGTCGACGGGCTCGGCATCCGCGTCCGCTACTTCATCGAGGCTGCCCATAGATAAGAACATGCAAAGGCAAGCTGTTGGTGCTCACTTATCGGGGGATGCGAAAGGCAATTGGCTTGGAGATGCACTTGCAGATGAGCGAGGCTCTGCAACCTCCACGGCGTTGGGACCTTGGTCATGCGCCCGTGGAGCGTCTGGTTCCGCGACGTCAACACCCTGAGGTACATTGCGAAGGACTGCGCCGTGTCCAGTCATGGATGCAATAGTGGTGGCGGCGGCAAGCCTACACATGTCGATGGTCACGGACAAGCTCGCACCTCATGCGCCTTTAGACGTGTACTGGTACCTGAGCGCCGGATTGCAGTAGGACTTGTGCCGCTTTGGGTTGAAGCACGCGCCACACCTGTTGACATTGCTCTTGTCGACGACGCGCGGCCCGTCGCTATGTGATCGCTTCGTCGCGACGCGCATCCCAGCTAGGAGCATCATGGTAGTGATCGATCGACAGCCTCTGGCCAGGGGCTTCAGTCGCGCAAGCTCTGTCGCGCCCACTTGAAAGCATCACTAATTTTAGCCAATCAAAACCCATACATGTGAACCTTATCGCCACTACTGGTCGAAATGCACGAAATACACGGCTTTTCGATGATTCCTGTATATGATTGGTGAAAATGCCACGTCGGGAGCACAGGCCGCGAACTGGACCACGGCGTTTTTATTGAAAACCTCCATCTTCGTATACCTCTCTTTTTGTATCCTGTGTGCGTAAAATTTCAGATCCCCATTTTACGTATTTGAGCTGGCAGTCTAAGAATCGACTGAATGTGACGAGCGGAGCCACCACCTCGGCTTCAAGGCCAAGAGCTGGACACGTATCTCACCGACCTCTACTAGCGCTTTTATGCCGCGACAGAGTACGCAATGTTTGCTATTTCTGCGTACTGGACGTGAGTGGGATCGGACGATGAACCCAGGAGAAGGATGGTTGTCGGGCCAGTATCCGCTCCAGGCCAAGGCGTTCGTGAGCTTACGTTATTCCATTCCAGCAGTCCACTTGAAGCGCCACGTTCTATGAAATAGTTAAAAAAAATCCATAGCATGCCGGAGCTAGCTCTGCGGTGTTGGCAAGCGCGTCGATAGCGTGACACGCTTTTTCGTGAGGCTTCGTAGCGGCGGTTGAACCGTCGCCAAGGATGCACTGCTAGACGTAAGACCAGCGTTGAGCATCTCGTCGTCGACTTGGCCACCAAGTGCTGGAAAGGACGTTGTCTCTGGCCACTCGCCAAACCGTGACGGTCGCTTCTTCTTCTCGACCGATCGATGATCGCTGGTCAGACTGGACGGCTGCGATTTTTACCGAGTGATGGCGGCGGTGGATGGTGCTGTCGCGGCTGCTTTCGAAACTCCGTCTAGTCAATATCGTCCACAAGATGTCATGGTATGGACCCACGGTACCCAGCACGGCAAGGTCTGACTGGCCACCGACCGCTGCCCGACATGGCCAGGATAAATACTCGTCTCTGGGAGCACTTTGGGCGCGTTGCCGCGGTTGGCGAGCTCGGTTAAAATATCGAGCGGGCTCGGCGGTGTCGCAATCGGCGGCAACTCGACGCCAAACTGCTTCTCGAGCGCCTCGCGAGTCTTCTCGGACGACTTGACCGTGCCCAGTTGCTACACGATGCACGTTTTTCATCGTTGCGTCGTCGAGAACGTACGACGATTTTCGCTTGGTACGTATGGAGCTTCCGAAACAGCATTTGCAGCACCCTCTTGACATCGGCGGGGCCAAGATCGTCGAGCTTGGCGGGCACGATATCACCGGGATTCCACTCTTTTGTGGCAGTTGGCTTGGTGCCAACTTGATGCGTAATGTCGTGGATGGCGGTGGAGAGAAAGCGCAGCGTGTCGTCTTGCTCGCCAAGGAAGAGCGACTTCTCGGCCCGGGCCGCGTCCAACTGATCCCGGGCATCCCGAAGCTCGGACGAGAGTGTCCGGAGCTGAACTTCGAGCTGTGTGGTCTTTTCGCTAAGGAGGCTAATCATGGTCTCGTTGGCCTTGTTGACGCTCTCCTTGGACGCGTCTTCCTGACTGAGCATCGCCTGGTGGCGCTGCGCGGCGGCCTGGTCGGCTTGGACACGCTCGTTGAGTTTCTTGATGAGTTTTTGGTAAAAATGCGTGCGTTTGGCCATTTCGACTTCCGTTTCCTTGTTGAGCTACGGGAAATGGACATGTTGTCATTGTCCACGCATGGTGTATAACTCGCACGGACTTTGATTTGGATGCGCAGCTGCGCAACTTCGGCTTCGATCGTCTTGTATTTGGCGAGGAGCTTCTCGGTTTCTTTGCTCTACACCGCGATGAGCCCTTGATACTATATACATGTGTTCATGAATCAACTTGATACTGCAGCTCCGAGATCATTTGATCGTTTTCCATCATGGTGCGCTTGGTCGTAGTGTGCAGCTGGTCTTCGGTCATGGCCAGCAAATTCTACCTCACATTTCCTCGTGAGAAGCGATCTGCAAGCGAGTTTGATTTTGTCAACCTGTTTGTTTTCCTTGATTTTGATGAGCATTTCCTTCTTGATCCGCTCCTTCTCTTGGACGTTTCGGCGCTCCATCTCCAGCAGTTGCTACGACGACGACATTGAAGTCGCACGACTGCATCTCACCGTACCTGCTGGTGCGTGGCCTTTTCGCTCTCGAGGTTGATCGAAAGCTTCTCAAGCGTCTCTTCCAGTGCGGCCTTGCGCTCCTGGAAGAGCTCGAGCGACTGCAGCGTGCTCTCGGCCGACTCCATGCGTTCGGCCCAGTCCTTCTTTTCTTTGGAGAATTGCTCGTTCTGGACCGCGAGCGCCGTCTCGTACGCGTCCGTGACGACCTCCTTCTCCCGCTTGACGCTCTCAATGTCAGTCTCGAGCTGCGTAATGACTTCGTAGTTGGCGTCAAGTTTCTTGTGCAAATAAAAGTATATGTCGGCCTACACGGATCTCGGTCTCCTCGCCTCCAATCCATATCGAACCTCATCTTCGCGCTGCTGAAGCAACTTGGCCTTGAGTGTGTTGTTTTCCGCCTTGAGCAGCTCGTTTTCTTGACCCCTATCGAGTGCTGTGAGGAAGCAGGATCGGGACAGAGCGATGACGACATGTGCTTCATCTCGTCGTTGAGGAGCGAGAGCTCAAAAGCGAGGACGGTGTCGATCTTGCCGAGAGCTTCCATCGCGATCGTGCCAATGTCGCGGAGCTTGGACCGGTCCTTCTCCGACTCCTTGGACTCCATGGCTCCCTCTCGCTGAACGAGCTCGAGTGTCTCGACTATAATTAGGCATGTAACTACACTCAACTAGACTTTCTTGAACGACAATATTGGTCATGATTTATTACGATTTATAGACAATTATTGCCTTGCGCCGTGGTCCTGCTGAAGCCCGTGGGCCAACTGCATCTCAAGCTCCTCGATTCTCGCTTTGAGGCGTGCAACGTCGTCGTCGAGGGGTTCGGCGACGACCTTGAGACCGGAGTGCCCGAGCAGCAACGCATCGACGTCCTGCAGCAGTGCCGAGCAAAGGTAGTCGTCGTCGTCGTCCGCATAATTCTCGTCGTCGTCGTCGTCGTCTCGCAATGACTCGTCGTCGTCACTGCTGCCCGACGGCGTGAGCACGGTCGGCTTGCGCGGCCGCACGCTCACTGACTTTTGGTGCCACGGCAGCGCATATACCTATGCGCCATCCGCTGATTCGGTGCACGGGACAGCGTGTGAGTACAGTCGTACCTCTTTGGTCGGCGACACGACGGTGCGAAGCGCCAGAAGCGGCGACTGACCGGTCGAGACCGCGTCTGAGTGGGCTTGGCAGCGCAGCGCTTGGGCCTTGAACGCCGTAAAGACGAGGTAGATAATGTCACGTGTTCGATTCGAATCGACTTTGAGGTGGAGCGGCGTCGGCACGCGCGTGTCGTGGCCCATGGCGAGGAGAAAGCCGTTGGGGTGTTGCGGCGCCATGGCGATCTGCAATTCGGACGAGTAGAGGGCCTCAAACGGCGGGATGAGCGACGACTCGCAGCTAATGCGCACGCGCTTGTCGTCAATGAGCAGCGACCACGTGTCCTAGGCACATGTATGGTTCGAGGCGACAGAACAGATCATTCTTCTGTCGTACATCTTTGGCGATTTCGTGGTGGTTGCTCGGTGCAATGTGCAAATTCTACCACGCCACTTCGTCCGATCGATGCACATTTCGCGCAGACGCGTACCGTGAAGAAGGCGGTGCGGGACTCGATGATGTTTTCCACATGCGATCGGATCGTCGGATCTAGTACAGTCCATGCAACGTCGTCGTCGATCGTGGGCTTCGGTGTCGTACCTTCAACGATCGGGCCAAACTCGGCGCAGTTGACGACAACGTCACCGTCGCTGCTCGAGGCGCGCATGTGCAATAGCAGCGTCGCGCCAATGTCCTCGGCGGTTGGCTGGTACCAGTCGTCGTTGGCGAACGGCACGACGTGGAACTCGCCGCCACGCTGCGCGCGGTACCACGTGAGCGATACGTCGATGCACGACCGCTTGAGCGGCCGGCCATTGCTCACGGCGAACACGATCTGCGTGTGGTGCACGCCGCCTTGGAGGACGACGCTTTCGAGGAGCGTGCGCGGGTGGCAGCGCCCGATCGCGGCGCAGAGCTCGGCGCGGTGGCCAGGCGTGGCCGGCTCGCGCTTCCACGGGCGCCGTATTGCGTCCTTCCAGAGCGACGTCCGAGGCGTCATGGGCGCTTGCTGGTTGGTCGCTGGCATTTTCGTCGACTGTCGCCGGTCCACGCCCATGGTTCCTCCGACCACTTGCCGTTGACACAACCAACTGGCCGCCATCATGGGGCGCCGCCTCATTTTAATCACACGAAGCACCGCTATACATACAAACACCAAGTATAGTGCCGAAACCAGCCAATAAAATGACACCCAAAACCGTGGGTACGGATAGAACGACCGGATGCATCGAAATGACACGGACGCGCGATCTCGGCCTAGAGTGGGACACGACAGACCTCGACCCCACCAAGGGTCGAGGGTCGCAGCGAGGACCGAGTATAGCTAATAGAATACACCCTAGCCAGTCTTGTGAGAGACAACGTTGACTCCACCGCCAGCCTATCGCTTCGTTGCCTGTGTGGACAACTTGTCCATACTACGCATGGCAGAGAGGTTGACCATTCCTCGATCGGTACGCTAGCGTGCACGACATGGTGCCAATCATCGAGCCACAGTGCCCCGTGGCGCTTCATGCCGAGGCTGCAGTGTGCGCGCCTGTTGCGTCGCTCAAGAGCGCCAGCCACGGGCGTTTCAACACCTTGGTGGCTCATTTTAACCTACTACTACGGTGCTAAACGAAGAGCGGGCAAAGCAACGGGTCGATTGCAGCGCCGCGCTTGTGTCTCTCAGGTGGACTCGGGACATGGCGGACGCACGTGGTATGTCTCCATCGGCGGCAGTCAATGAAGGAGCGCGTTCGGTGGGCTTCGATCCGCCGACGTAACCGCTGGCACCTCTGAAAATGAATAACCTCTACCGCCGCGATACCCCAAACGATTGGCGGAAGCGCCAGCGTGTTTGCCGACCGTTTATTTGACGGCGTCTCTGATTGGCTCTCGGCACATCCAGCTAAGTGGACGCAAAAATCCAAGTTGGTTCCTGCTGCGATGACGACGACGACGACGAAGGCCAAGTTTGGGACCTCGTGGCCGGCGACCAACCCGTCCTCGGCGCCGGGCTCGTGTCCGCAGCGCACGTACGTACTGCCGGCCTCGCCGCGCTTGGCTCATGCATTTGGACTGTAGCAACCCGAAGCTGTTGAAGCTCGTCGAGCCGCATGTGGCATCGTTCGACTACATGCTCGAGGAGGGCCTCGACCTCGCCGTGCAGTCGATTGCGCCGCTGTCCATGGACGTTGGCAACAGCAACAAGATGACCATTTGGATCGAGAGCGCGCAAATTGGCTTCCCGACCACGGACGCCTCCAACAACCACGCGGTACTTGCTTGGATCCAAGCACATTCCATGGCACTCAACGTGCGATATGGAGTAGAAGGCGATGCTGCCGAGCGAGTGCCGTCAGCGTGGCATCTCGTACACGGCGCCGCTCGTCGTGACGCTCGGCCGGTCGTTTGGCGGCTCGGCGATTGAGCATCTGCAGCGCACGGTGGGCCAGATCCCGATCATGGTGCGCTCCAAGCGGTGCCACCTCGCGGGCCTCTCGCCGCCCGAGCTCGTCCAAAAGCGCGAAGAAGCCAACGAGATGGGCGGGTACTTTATTTGCAACGGCAACGAGCGCTGCGTGCGCCTCCTCCAGATGCCGCGCCGGCACCAGCTCATGGCCGTCACGCGTGGCGCGTTCGCGAAGCGCGGCGACCTCTACTCGGACAAGGGTGTCTTCATGCGCTGCGTGCGCCGCGACCAGTCGGCGGTCACGATGACGCTCCACTACCTCCTCGATGGCAACGCGACGCTCCGCTTTGGCATTCAAAAGAAGGAGTTTATGGTGCCCGTCGGCCTGCTCCTCAAGGCCCTTTACACGCTCACGGACCGCGAGGTCTACGACCGCGTCGTGCGCGGCGACACGGAAAACACGTACTTGTCGGCGCGTATGGAGCTCATTCTGCGCGAGTCCAAGCGCTTCTCGGTCTACTCGCGCGACGAAGCGCTCGCGTACCTCGGCAAGCACTTTCGCTCGGTCGTGCCCTTCTTGGACAAGGACATGTCCAACGTCGACGTCGGCAACCGGTTTGTCGACGACTATGTGTTTGTGCACATTCCGAAGGGTGAGAAGGGCCGCGCGCAAAAGGTATCGAATTCACGACCGTTTGCATGAATGCTTAGATGCGGCTAGGTCGAGCTGCTCTGCTTGATGATCCGCAAGCTGTATGCGTTCGCCAAGGGCGACATCCGCGAAGACAACCCGGATAGCGTCATGAACCACGAGCTCCTCCTGCCCGGCCACCTCTACCTCATGATCCTCAAGGAAAAGCTGCAGGAGATGCTCGTGAGCATGCGTCTCCAGATCGAACGCCAAGTCGCCGACACCAAGAACAAGGTGAGCGTCATGGACCTCGCGTACCTCAAGAAGACGTGGGAGCGCACGGCCAACATTGGCAACGCGATGACGTACTTTCTCAACACGGGCAACCTCCGCACGTCGAGCGGCTTGGATTTGATGCAGCTCGCGGGCTACACGATCGTGGCCGAGAAGCTCAACTACTATCGGTACTTTTCCCACTTTCGCTCGGTGCACCGTGGTCAGTTCTTTACGACGATGAAGACCACCACGGTGCGCAAGCTCCTTCCGGACTCGTGGGGCTTCATGTGCCCCGTGCACACGCCCGATGGGTCGCCATGCGGTCTCCTCAACCATCTGGCGGTCGAGTGCCAGCTCGTGACGTCGCCGCCGTTCACGGCCGACACGGTGCTCGGCGAAGAACAGAAGCTCGCGCGCTTCCTCGCCGACCTCGGCATGGTGCCCGCGACCGGCTACAGCGATGGCGCGTGCTTCATGCCCCACACGTACCTCCCGATCACGCTCAACGGCAAGGTCCTTGGTGGCGCGCCCGCCGAGGTCTGCACGATCATCGAGCAGGCGCTTCGCTACACGAAGGCCGTCAAGGACAAGAGCGTCCGTGTCGAGCGCGGCGTCGACAAGACGCTCGAGGTGTGTTTGATCTTGCCGGTGGTCGGTGGTCCGTTTCCGGGTCTGTACCTCTCGTGCGACGCCGCGCGCTTCACCCGCCCCGTCAAGCAGCTCCACACCGACCTCGTCGAGTACATTGGGCCGATGGAGCAAGTGTTTATGAACATTGCCGTGCTCAAGGACGACATTCGCGCGTCGACGACGCACATGGAGCTCAAGCCGACCAACATGCTCTCGCTCGTCGCGAGTCTGACGCCGTTCTCGGAGCACAACCAGAGTCCGCGTAACATGTACCAGTGCCAGATGGCCAAGCAGACGATGGGCACGCCGGCGCACTCGATCGTGCACCGAACGGACAACAAGATGTACCGGATCCAGTCGCCGCAAGCGCCGATCGTGCACAACGAGCGCCTCCGCGAGTACCAGCTCGACGAGTACCCGCTTGGCACGAACGCGGTTGTCGCCGTCATCTCGTACACGGGCTTTGACATGGAAGACGCCATGATTCTCAACAAGTCGGCGTACGAGCGCGGGTTTGGCCACGCGTCGGTCTACAAGCAGATCAAGGTCGATATTTCGCCCAACGAAAACTCGACGACCAAGAGCTACTTTGGCAACGTCAAGCCGGGCTCCGCCAACGGCGAAGTCATCTCGACGGCGCTGGACCGTGACGGGTTTCCCCACATTGGCCAAAAGATCCAGTACGGCGAGCCGATTGCGTGCCACATCAACTCGACGACCGGAAAGGAGTCGTTTGTCAAGCACAAGGAGAGCGAGCCGGCGATCATCGACCAGATCAACCTCCTCGGCAACACGGGCAACAACGCGGACTTCACCAAGGCCAGTATCAAGCTCCGCTTCGTGCGTAACCCGATCATTGGTGACAAGTTCTCGTCGCGCCACGGTCAGAAGGGTGTCATGAGTATCCTCTGGCCACAGGCCGACATGCCCTTCTCCGAGTCGGGCATGAGCCCCGATGTCATTATCAACCCGCACGCGTTCCCGTCCCGCATGACCATTGGCATGCTTGGTACATTTTGGATCTCTCTATGAATGCGTCGACTTATCAACTACGTTTTCTAGTCGAGTCGATGGCGGCCAAGGCCGGTGCGCTCCGCGGCCAGTACATGGACGCGACGCCGTTCCAGTTCAACGAGCAGAACCGTGCGATCGACACGTTTGGCGTGTACCTCAAGGAAGCCGGCTACAACTACATGGGCAGTGAGCCGCTCTACTCTGGTCTCACGGGCACGGTCATGCACGCCGACATCTACATGGGCGTCGTCTACTACCAGCGTCTGCGTCACATGGTCAGCGACAAGAGCCAAGTGCGCGCGACGGGTCCCCTCAACTCGCTCACGCGCCAGCCGGTCAAGGGCCGTAAGAAGCACGGTGGTATCCGCTTTGGTGAAATGGAGCGCGACTCGCTCTTGGCCCACGGCTGCGCGTTCCTGCTCCAAGATCGTCTCATGAACTGCTCGGACAAGCACATTGCGACCGTGTGCACCAAGTGCGGCAGCTTGCTCAGCACGCTCAACCAGCGGGCGGCCGCGAGCACGGCCGGCGCGTCCGACATCGAGGTCGCCCTCGGCGCGCGCAAGCTCTGGATGTGCTCGACGTGCTCGACGGGCGAAGGCTGCGAAGCCGTCGCGATGCCGTACGTCTTCCGGTACCTCGCCAACGAACTCGCGGCCATGAACATCAAGATGACCATGACGCTCAAGGGCGTGTAAACAAAAAATCCCGCATCTCATAGACACTGTATCCTCGGCAGCAGCACCACCACAACTTGCATAATTGAATATACTTAAACCGTTCCCACCGACCATTCCTTCCTTCCTTCCAGTACTATTAGCCTCGAGGGGGCAGGGGACAACGGCACGTGGTAGTTCGGCACGTGCTGACCACAGTTCGCGCAAGGGGTAGGGTTTCGGCAACGATCACCGCCGCATCGCCTGTGCTGTCACGTCCGACAGAGAAGCCACGAGCTGCTGCAAGGAAGAAGAAAGACTCTAGACGCCCACCGGGTGCGTCGTCGAAACAAGCCGGCGGGACACTGCCCTGTACGATCTTGCAGTGTTACAATACTGTGCCCATGCACAACCGGTATTCCCATGCACGCTCTTACTGACTACGGAATGCCTGCAGTACGAATCAAGCTATAGGAGGTGAGGCACCGTATCATTAGTCTAGCGAGTACTGTGCTATCATGCGATCGTGCGTCCAGTCGCCTGCAGCTGTCGCCTGCCCTATCGAGTCGTCTTGCAAAGCGGTTGGCAGCTCCATGGGCGTGCTACTGCAGTGCACGAGTAGTCGTCCAAGCAAGGAAGGAGCCCACTTTACTCTCATTGGTCTTTGTCGGGATGCTACTACAGTTCCGCCGCGTTCCAAGAAGATACAGGACGTGCACGGTACACTGCAACTTGAACGACGCGCTACTCACGCATCGGCACGAGGTGGCCGCGAGTTGTTACAGTGGACCTCTCGCCACTATCTCGGCACTGCAGGCGCCCTGTAGCGTGTCTCTAAGATGGATGCTAAGTCGCAGAAGACTCGACCAATGCTCGCTTCACAACAAGGTGGGCCAACATCGCGCGCTTCTCTTCAATAGACCACAGCGCTGGACGCAGAGGGGGATCGCCGTGCGTGGTCTTGTCGACAGCACGCAAAGACGAGGGTGGCGTTCGATCTCCGGACGCAAGCCGACGCTTGGACAGCGCGTATTGTCGGTTCCTCGTCGCGGCCTGTCGACATCACAGAAACCGGACGTCGCCGGCCGCGCCGCCGAGTGGCGCGACGCCATGGCCCCGAGGGCTTGATACCAATGGACTGCATAGGCTAGAGTGGTACGTGAGGGCATGCGACGGCGCGTGCGGCCAGTGGCAGGATGGCGGGATGGCAGGGTGGCGGCTTGCTGGCCGCGATCTTCGCGTTATCCGGATGACCGAAACGGTTTCGAGGATATGTTGTCTCCGCCCCGCAGTTCAGAAGTCGCGCAAGATGGAGGAGTACGGAGAGCTCGTCGTGCTCGGCTACAGCAGCTACCGCGTCGCTGGCAAGGACGACCCGTCGCCGCACAGCGCCAAGTGGCAGCCCGTGGGGTCGCCCAACTGCCACTTTCGCCTCGCGCCGAAAAAGTCAGGCAACGGCCTCACGCGCCGCCGCGCGTTCCTCGCCACCGGCCTCGGCGAGAAGGCGTCGTCCGCCGACGCAGCAAAGGCGCAGCTGCACGCGCCATCGAGCCAATTCGTGACGATTCCACTCTCATTGAGCACGATGGCCATGGTCGAGTACGTGCCCGATGCGAGCCTGGATATGTACCAGATTGGCCGCCAGCCCTCGCGCTACAACGACTTTAGCGTCCCCGGACCGCTCTACGGCGCGTCTGGTACGATCTCGCGATTCGCGGCGCGCCTTATGTGCGAGCGGAACGCGCCGTATCGGTGCCGCCTCTATGCGGGTGGCTTTGACGCGTCGCACACGGCCGCGGTGCCAGCGTCGGCGCTCAAGTACTGCGCGGCCTGCAGCACGTGGAGCAAGACACTTGGCTGCTGCCATGTCGCGCCATTGTCTTTGGCCTCTGATGGTCCCGTGCTCTCGGAGATGAAGTCCGCCCATGCGTGCGACAGCACGGTGCCAGTGGACGCCCTCACAAAGAACGGTGTCCGTCTCTGGGTTCCGGAGCAAAAGGAGTGGTTTGAAGTGTCGATGAACGGCTTCCTCTACGCAATCCAGGGCGGCGGCGGCGAGCACGGAAGCTCGTCCACATCCTTTCACCGGCCGACAGCCGGCCCCGTCCATCTCGAGTCGTTTGTATCCCATGGCTGCATCATTGACCTCGGCGGCGTCCAGCTGCAATTCCTCACAAAGCTCGCACGCCGCAAACCGTCGTTGGCGCCACCGCCATTGCAGCCATCGCTCGTCGCCCAGCTCGAGTCGCTGCATGTGCAGTGCCCCGTGCAGCTCATGCCGTTGCGTTTCCACGCCGACTGCCAATCGAGCGAGACAGCGCACGTCTTTCCTGCGTGCGGCCACGTGTTTGGCTACGACGCGCGCATTGCACTCGGGAAGGCGTGTCCCATGTGCCGCACGCCCGGTGGCATGGTGCTTCTCAAGCTCACGTCCGGAAACGGCGCCAAGTTGCACCAAGCGGACGAGCGCAACTGCGTCCCTGACTGCGTCTTCAACCCGTGCGGCCACGCTGTCGGCCTCAAGTGTGCGACGCAGTACGCATCGATTCGAATGCCCAACGGCAAGTCGATCTGCCCCATCTGCGCCGTGGCCTTGGATCCGATCCAGCCTTTTTCCAAACTCTTTTGGCACACGGACGACGACGATGAGCATGATGCTGATGCTGGTGCGAATGAGATCCAGGACGTGGCCGCTGCGTGAGACCAGAGGGAGTCGAGACGAAGGCTGCATCGCTCGGTATACATGTAGTATGTTTTAACTCTTTGGTTTCTTGTTGCGCGGCTTCTTGCTGGCTTGGGCAGCTACATTGGGCATGAGCCCGGAGGTTCGTCGGAGGCCCTTGAGCGTCCGCAGCTTGAGCTCGTCGCGCGTGAGCGGGTGCATGCCGTCGGAGACGCCGTGGTCGACCATCTCGTCTTCATCCGACGAGTAGTCTTCGAGGTTCGGTGGGTTGATCTGGAGCGGCTCGCCACCCATCGGCATCGGTGGGCCAATCCCAAGCACCGCGTGCAGTTGGTGCGACGACAAGCCATGTCCTACAGAGAGTTGCCTGCAATCCTCGATACAAATGCGTCGGTACCCAAGACCGGGTTCTCGACGAGGTCGAGGCCCGCAGCTCGCGACTTTTGGAAGTGGGCGTACTGCTGCAGAATCTCGTTGGTGCGCTGCTCGACCATGCCAAGGTACTGCATCATGTTGACGTCCGTGACGATGTTTTCGCCCAGCATCTCGGCCATGGCCTGAGCGTTGCAGCCGACGTGGTTGAAGAGGACTTGAATCGCGATCTTGACCGCGTTGATGTTTTTCTGGGCGTCGTTGTATTTGACTTCGTACTTTTCGGCCGCAGCTTCGGTGGCTACGAGTTTCGCCTCCAGGTCTTTGAGGAGCTGCTTGTGCTGGTGCGCATCGTCACCCGTCTCCTCCGAGTACTTGGCCTCCTCGACCTTGAGCGCCTACATGGATCACCATTGGAGCTGGCCTCCGGAAACGAGACACACCTCGATTTGGTCTTGGAGCTTTTCAATTTCGTTGGTTTGCTCGTTGACATAGTTGAAGAGCGAGAAATTCTGATCTTCGTTCTTGATGAACGTGTTGACGAGCTCCTCAATGTCGGTGATGCCGGTGGCCGCCTTGATTTTCGTAAACACTTCTTCGTAGTTTTGGACGCGCTCGATGCTCACTTGGACGTGGACCTTCTCCTTCGCAACACCCCACTGCTGCCGCTGGAGCTTGCGCTTCAACGTGCTGTCGTCGTCGTTCGTGGCGGAGCTCTCACGCCGGGCAACGTCCCGCAGCTGCGCTTCGCGGGCCAGCTCGGCGCGCTTCTTGCTCTCGTCCATCTTTTCCAACAAGTCGGTGATCTGGCGTCGGTGCTCCTCGGCTTCTTGGCGGTTGATTTGCTCGATCGCCTTGACCTCCATCTACATGGACAATGCAGATGATGAAAAAGGCGAAAAATGGAAACAATAACGAGCGAACCTGGGCCGCGTCGCGCTGTTCGTAGCTCAAGTTGCTGAGCTCAATGATGTTGGCCATTTGCTTCTTGCGCTCGTTGTGGTCCTTCTCGAGCTTGCGGTAAATGTTGTCAAAGATCATGCGCTCGCGGCGCAAATTGTCGATCTCTTCGCGCAGCACCTTGTTTTGCGCCAGCGCTTCGTTGAATTTCACGAGCGATTTGTCGAGGCGGTTCTCAAGGATGCGGATTTGCTTGTGGACCATGTGGTGGTTTTCTTTGGCCGCGTTCACGCCGCCCATGTGCTTGCGCTGATGCAGCACCTTGTGCTTCATGATTGTGATTTGCTGCGCAAGGGTCTCGCAGTGCTTGGCCTCGCCTGCAATTTTCTTGACGTACGCGTCGATCTGGTCTTGCATGCGCGCAATGCTCTCCGACTGCGAGTTCGCGTTGGCTTCGGTCAAGTGGCGCGTCGCAAGCGACAGCTCCGATTTCATGTCGTCGTTGTCGCGCTTGAGCTTCTCGATCACGCTTTGCTGCCGCCGCATGACCTGGTGCGACTCGTCCGAGTAGCTCTTCCGGTTCATCTCCATGTTGCGGTACTCGCGCTGGAGCTGCGAAAAGTCCACGCCGCCCTTGGTCTCCATGCTCGCCCTCGGTTCGTGCTGGCTATGAAAACGAAAAACCTACGAGCCCGTTTCGCCCGCGCCGTTTCAAGGCGCTGTTGCCACGTGCCATGCGACGACGCAGCGAGACGTCACGAATGGAGATCGCGGTCGACACGAGCGTGCTCGAGCGCAGTCGTGTCAAGCGGAAGAAATTCGCCGACCGCCAAGCCGCGGTCCTTGCCGGCGTTGGCGCGACGGCCATGGAACTCCGGCGCCGGCTCTTCAACCGCCGCCACTTGAAGTATGGTGGCAAGCCCGGCGACTTGCCGCTCGTGCAAGAAGCCAAGTCGGACAACCTTAGCATCCGCCTCGCCATCATCGACCAAGAGGCCCGAAGCCGGGCCCTCGACAGCGAGTTTCAATCGCACACCAAGCTCGAGCAGTCCTTCCGGTAGCCTGCACTCGCTGCTACGATTGGCCCTCTCTCTAGACGGATTGTAGACGACTCCATGACACGCTACATTCAAGTGCCACGGACGTGCGGGGCAAGCAAGCCAAGTTGAAAGAGCTCGAGCAGCGCCTGCGCCTCCTCCAGACAACAACCCACGACCCGCTCACACCGGTCTACGCTGCTGCTAGTGTGAGACAACTTGTCTGTACTCGTGCGTAGATTCGAGCTGTCGAGGCGGCGAAAAAAGTCGCGTTCGAGCTCGACGAACACAAGGCCGCGTACCTCCCCACGTTCACGTGCCGCGTGTGCGCGCGGGTGTGCGCGTCGGACGCTCTCTTGCGTCTCCACGAGCCATACTGCAAAGGCCTCGTGTTTCGTGAAGACGTGTTTGACGTGGCGGCCTACCGGCGGTGCCATCTCTGCTACCGGTATGTCCTCCCTGTCGCTGTCGACGACCATTTGCAAGCGTGTACGGCTGCCATGGACCGGAAACAGCGCTTGCTACAACGCCCCGAGTACGATGTCGCGGGGTGTGTGCCAGAGCCGCCGACGCAGCTGCGCATTCTAGCGGTGACGAGCCACTCGATCGAGTTGGCGTGGGACGCACCGGTCTTCACGGGCGGCCTCGTCATTTTTGAGTACGAGCTTTGCCTATCGAAAGTGGTACAGGACAAGTTCCAACGGCTCCAACACCGTCAGCACGAGCACACGTTGGTCGCACTGCCACCGGTGCGAACGTCGCGCTGGGTCGACCGCGTGCCGTTGGCGGCCACCCGCTTTGTCGTGGAAGGCCTCTCGGCCAAGACGTCGTACAGCGACATTGCGATCCGCGCCAAGACCGAAAACGGCTTTGGCGGCTACTCAGTGCCCATTGACGGTGTCGAGACGTTGGGTACTTCGACCGCTGTTGCTGTTGCTGGCATTTGATTGATGCAAGGATGTAGAGCCAACGCCGCCGAGCGTCCCGCTCTTCTTCACGCTCGGGCTCGTCACCATGACGTCGATTACGCTGAGCTGGATGAGTCCCATGGACTTGGGCGGCGGCGTTGTGGACGAGTTTGTCATTTTGTACACGACGCTCGTGCAAGTCCACGTGGACGGCGCCGACGCCTTGGACATGTCGCAGAGCGAAGAGCGCGAGTTCAAGCTCAAGTACACGCTTCCACTACTCGCCGAGCCGAGCCCAAGCGAGGCATATGCTACCAACAATGCGCTGTACAGCTTTACGATCGAGGCGCTGCAGCCCGGAAAACTCTACACCAATATTCGCGTGTACGCCGTGACGCGGGACGGTCTCTGCAGCCCCGAGACGGTGGCCCTTGAACCTGTCCGCACGCTCGGTAGACACTTTTTAGTTGTTTTAACTCTATCTTTTGCACTGTAGTGGCGGGCAAGGAGTTCAAGCTCATCGCCGAGCTCCAAGAAGCCATCAATAGCCGCGCGACGTACATCGATTCGGCCTTTTACAACGGTTTTCCGCAGCGCTACGAGCGCCTCTACTACTTGCGCCTGCTGGCCAAGACGATCAAGGCGCACCATCCCACGCTCGCCGACCGCGTCGATGCCATGCTGCCACTCGTAGACGACTCGGACTCGGACTCGGACTCAAACACGGACGAGGAGGAGCCGCCGGCGACGCCTGCGATGCTAGTTGTCGAGGAAGAGCGGCCCAAGACAGCTGCCGAGATGGTTGCCGATGCCACGGCCAAGCGCTTGGAGACACAGAAAACCCGACGCAAGCAATTTCAGTACCGACTGCACCAGCTGCGGCACCATTTGGACGTGCTCGCACACAACATTGACTGGGCTGACGACCGCACGACGATCTTGCTCTCACTCATTGCTGCCGCCGAACAGCGCATTCTCGACAAGCAAGCCGAACTTGAGCGCGCCAAAGCGTTTCGGGGACCGTCGATGGACTCGATCGTCATGCATGGTACACTTATCGTGTTTCGTTTACAAAATGTACAATGTGTCATGCTCTAGGTGGACTGCAACATTTCAAAACCAAGGAGCTTGTTCAGGCCCTCGAAGAAGAGCTCGACGTTGAGCACTTTTACATCAGCGACACAAAAGAGGAGCTCCGGCAAATCGAAGACCAGAAAAACGCCGACGTACGCAGCTTGGCGGCCAAGGAAGCACAACTTGTGGCGCGGCAAGCCGCACTCGAGACGTTTGAGACGGACTGCGAACTCGACGCGTTTGTGGCCGAGCGCGGGGCCAAAGTCCTCTTACGCTTGCAGTCGCAGTCGCTTGCCTACGTCTATGACAACTGGACGCGCTTCGTCACGCAGCGCAAAGCGGCCCGCGCCGTGGTTGCCAAGGTCGTGACGCGCCTCGAACAGAGCCTTCTTCGTCCCGCGTGGCGGTACAGCGTCATCCGATCGATGCGTTGTCGACACGTCGTTGGTTTGCGTAGATCCTGGGTCGTCTTTTGGGATTTTGAAAAAAATAAGGAGGTCGCCCCCGATGGTGTCGTCAGTCTCGGTGGTCTCGGCTTGAAGGCGGTCCATGTCAACCGAATGCTCATGCAGCAAGACTGCTTTGCAGCGCTGCATGCGTGCCGCGACGTGGCCTCCGCCCTCATGGACGCTGGCCGCACCAACGACGAGCGCGCGGCCAAAGACCGCAATGTTTTCGAGAAGGAGCGCAAAAAGCTCGCCCTAGCTGCCAGCATACCCCAGGTACGCGACAGATCGGTACCACAAGGTGTCAGCTTTCACCTTCAATCTAGTCGTTATCGACCCTGTGGACCCAAGGAGGGACGCAACTGGACATTGGCGACTACGGAGGCGCTCTCTTCACCTACGAAAAGCTCGTCGATGCACTCCCCAACGACGCTGATCGATTCAATCAAGTGCGAGTTTTATACCACATTGACGCATGTATCAAATGTCCTATGCTTGTGATAGACACAATTGGCCAACGCACTCAATCACATTGGTCGGGTGGCCTTTCTACTCAAGCGGTACGAGAAGGCGATGATTGCGTTCGAGCGCGCTGTCGGGATCTGCGACCGCATCGGAGACCCCAAAGAAACAGCCATTTCGATGCGGGGGCTCGCCGACTGCCACCTCGTGTCGCGCGGCTTCAAGCCCGCGCTGCAGCTCTACATGAAGGCGTGCAGCGCAGCCGAAGACGTGAGTGACGTGCCGACGCAGATCGCTGCGCACCACGGCGTCGCAGCCTGCTACCGGGCGTGGGACGACACGCTCTTGGCCAACGAAGCCGCGGCAAAAGCCCGGGCGCTCGAACGCCGCATGGACGACAAGGTCGATCACATCGAGCACGCTCTCGACGCGCTCAAAGCCAAGCTCATCACGGTACACCATAAAACAGTGGTGTGTACTATACATTTTGGACCAGGTCAGTGCCAAGGTCGCGGCGACGTTCCAGCTCGAGCGCGTCGGTGCGATCGTGCCGAAATTGCGTGCGGAGCGGCTCCAATGCAAGATCACGATCCTCGAAGAGGAAAAAGTCCTCGGCGCGCTTACGTCGCTCGTCGAGTCGAAAGCAGCGCTTCTGGCTCAAGGTCGCGACGACCTTAAGCGCAGTGAAGTGAGCGACGCCGAGTACGTTGATTCGTCGGTCTTTCTCGGCGTCTCGACGCGGTATGCGATCAAGGACTTTACCGAGAAATTACGCGTCTTTATGGACCGTCTCCGGGTGGCCAAAGCCGCGATCGAAAACGAGCAAACGAATGCGTCGACGCGCATCACCAACGAGCACGAGCGCATTAAAGAGGTATTTCTTTTGATTTTAATTGGATTTTGATGTACAGTATTGTCATATCTAGTGCGAGGACGAACTCGTCATTGAGACGGGCGATCTCATGCGCCGCGTGCGCGGAAAAGACGCGTTTCGGTGCTTTCGCTTCAACGCGGTCAATGCGATCTACAAGGACGTCCTGGGTCATGCCAGTGGCGGGGTCTCAACGTGCGTGGCCAGTGTGGGCCCCACGCTGCTTGTCTACGACTTGCACACTGGTGTACGTACCCCAATTGCATTTGTTTTGGTGACCATGTGGGTAGGTGTGTATGGGCCAAGGGGTCGGGGACGCAAATACCGACCCGAACGCGCCGGTGCACCTTGGTGGCATTGAAGGCCACCTCAAGATGATCATGTGTGTCTACGCACTCAACGACCATGTGTACACGGGCAGCATGGACTGCTCGCTCATTGTGTGGAAGCTCCTCGACGGCAATCAGCCGTCCTTTGTGCACCGCGTTGACGAGTTTGACGCCGCGGTGATGTCAGTCACGGCGACGTTGCAGTGTATCTGCGCGGGCACGGCCGACTGCACACTTTATGTATGTAGACCTACTATGTGTACACGATTGTCTATCGACTGACGTCTAGGTGTACGATGCCACGTCGTTTGCTCGCATCGCAGTCGTGCCGTCGGCCCACTACCGTACCATCACGTACTTGGTCATGGACGCGACCTTGCTCGCGTCCGGCGGCGCCGACAATGAAATCCGACTCTGGCAATTCTCACTCCAAACCTCGGCCGAGAAGCGGTACACCAAGCTGGCGCGCCTTCGACCCGAGCGCGACGGCCACGAATGGTACCTGTCATCGTGACAGCTCACCCATTATTGTAACCGTCGTTGTGGGTAGGGTCCGCGGGCACGTCGACCCTGTGTCGTGTGTGCAGATTGCGGACAACGAGATTGTGAGCGGCGACCGCGGCGGCCGCATCGTGCTCTGGGACTCGGTCAAAGGCAGCATTCGCCGTGAGATTCGCAAAGCACACGAAGCAGCGATCACGTGCCTCGCGTTCGACACGCTGCGCGTCATCAGCGGCGACGCGTCGGGAAAGATCTCGATCAGTGACGTCATCAGTGGCCTCGTGCTGCAGACGCTGCTCGGACACACGGCGCGCGTTCTTGATGTCCAAGTCGATCGGACCATGCTCCTGAGCTGCTCGGAAGATGGCAGCTTGCGACAATGGACGTTTCAGTCGCGTGATGGCAGCGCGTCACGCGGCCACCGGTATCATATTCTGGGCGCGGGTGAGACACTGCGGTCACTCTCGCTGCAGTATCACACGAGTGTCAACGATTTGCGGCGCTGGAACAACATTGTGGACGTGACGAAAATGTACCTTGGCCAGCAGCTTCTTGTGCAGACAACAATCGTCGAAACAAAAGTCGTCGAGCCCGTCTCGGTCGTCTTTGGAAAGCTCGCGCTGGAAGAAACTAGCTTCTTGCTGAGCAACCGCCGCGGTAAAGCATCGCTCGACGACCGAATTCGGGAAACCACCGACCGTTTTGAGCGTGCCCTCAAGACGGGCGACGCGAGTGACCCTGTAGCCGAGGAGAGCGAGGAAGACACCAAGTCTGCAGACAACGACGACGACGACGATGACGACGACGACGATGACGACGACGACGACGATAAAGACAGTGAAGACCAAGGCGACGATGACGGCGACGCGCCGGAAGGCAACGAGCCCGACGATGAAGCGTGACGATCTCTTGCATTGACTGTGAAGGGCTGTTTTTGCCAAATATCGGGACCGCCTTGGCGCTAGGATCTTTAACATTGCTACGCGGATAAGAGACCAACTGTTGAAATACCTGATGTTCAGGACAAGTGGTACACCAGATGAGTCTCTCGTGTCGTCGCGAGAGCCGCCCATTTCAGTCGCTCGAGGTTGACAACGAGACTGAGCAGAGTAGCGTTCTTTGATGACGATGTATACAAATATGCCGGAATGCGAGAGATAAAACGCAACTTGAATCTCTTTTTTGATTGGCTTGTTTTGAGAATGCGCATCGAGCACGTGGGGACCATTGCGTGGGGACTGGAGACGTTCGAATTGCCAGATGGGATGTAGAAAAGCCCAGTTCCCGTTAGATTGAATATCCCGCAGTAAAGCGTTTACTCGTACTAATCTTTCGCCTTTTACTAAAGATTACCGTGGACGTCTTACAAACAATGCGGCTTCACTAATTTCTGACCTCCCTCTGGGAGGACCTACTTCGTCGCTTAGCTCTCCTTCAACGCCACCTTCCCATCTTTGTTCGTTCTTTGCTCCAACACAACAGTACCTCGTGTCAATTTATCGGTATCTATACTAGCGCATCGAAAACGTTCAGCTACCTCCCGGTTAAACCAGCATCCAAATTTATACCAGCAGCATCACCTTGGTGTAGTTTGATGTGGCAACTCGCACGCACCCTGCGGCTATTTTTACTCGTTAATCGTAATGCCGTCCAAGGCTCGGCGGCCAAAGCCGTCCACGACCAAGGCCATACCCAGTGCCAAGAAGCCCAACTCCAACACGAAGCTCCCTGCGATCGACCCGAGTGCAGTCAGCTCAACAACTACTCCGTCCATTGACGCCATCGCTAACGTCGTTGCGCCAGAGAGGTTGCCGCCCCTCGACGCACCGCGCAGTGACACAACAAGTGCTATGGCACCAGTCGACGCGCCTGCTCGGACCTCGGACACAGAGCCCGATGGTATCGCAGCGCTAGGTGGCGTCGAAACGGGCGACGTCATTTTGGTCTACGAGCTGTACCGCGAGCCCTTTCCCATCGAGAATGGGGCAATCGCAACCAGTGCCATTGACGAGGCGTATGCGCTTTCGTTTGTGATGCCCGCTTGCCACATCCACCTCTCGGTGCATGCCCCCGCTGAGAAGAGAGAGCGCGATATCCAAGGCGACGCCGTCTACTTGCCCGAGATAGCCCCCGGTCTCATTGGCACTCTCTGTGCCAGCGCAACGTACTACGTCTACGTGACCGAGGACGCAGCGACGTTGCAGGCGGTACCTCCATCAACGACGCAACGCGGGTCCTTTCAAGAGCTGACGCTCGGCGACGGCCGCGGCTTTGATTCGTGCACATGCATTGAAGGCACGCCGTGCGTTGATGAGGGCGGCTGCCGCAACTGGCGTAGTCGCTATGCGATTGCGACGGAACATGGTTGGGAGGGATTTGGCTTGGAAGGGAGCTTGGAATAGTAAGTTAACATTAGAATATATACGGCAAATGGAACCCCGCTACGCAAGGGCCGGGCATAGATAATGGCATAGACGGGTGTGCATGCGCTGCAATCGGGACGGACGACCCGAGTTCGCCGAGTGGGGCGCAGGCACGTAGATCGAGTGCACCGAGTACAGGTCTCGCGTCGGGCACGTCGCTTCGTCAATGGCCTCGTGCCAGTTGAGGAGCGTGGCCTCGAGGTGCGCGACCACGTTAACATGGCCAAAGTCGGCAGCGTACGCAAGCGCTTTCCGCAGCGTGCGCGGCGAGACGCGCGGCGCGAGCTCCTCGACGATTTCCAAGTGGCCTGCCGCTGCGCCATAGACAATGCTGTCGCACACACCGTCGTAGTGCACAGTGGCGGCGCGACGACCGAGCATGTACTGCAGCATAGCGACGTTGCCTTCGGCCGCAGCAGCCTTGACCAAGCTCGTCGTGTGGCAGGGCACGTTGTAGCGCTCGACGAGAATCTGCAGCACGTCGAGCCGGTTGGCGTCAATCGCGCGCTCGACGTCCGCCACGGACGGCACGACCTCGGGCTTCTCGAGCAGCATGTGCTCGTGGCCCGCAGCAAGCATCTCGAAGGCGTTGTCCCAGTCGCGAAACGCCTTGCCGGGGAGGAAGGTCGCGATCAAAAGGAGAAGCTCCGGGGTGCCGAGGACGAACTGCGCGCTGTTGTGCATCATGGTTTCTGTTTGCGACTGAGACTCAAGTGCTCATGGCTGGTGAGAGCAGAGAGCGCAAAATACGAGACAGTGCCCCTTTTCTCTGCCATCGTCGATGACGGTCTCGCGATATGAAAGAGACATTTGGTTTGAGGAAATACATAGCTCATCAATTGGCGAAGGAAGCGTTATAAAACGAATGAATTTTCGTACGGTACACCCTACAAGCTCTACAAGCTTGCCACGTTTGGCGCCAAGTGCAATAAAAAGTGCAATGTGGATCGAATGATGATGTGGACCCGTCAATTGTCTACATTTGAGATGCACACGCCAGCCACTTGTACACGTTTGAACGCACGTTGAAGCGATGGCGTGCTACTTCCCGAATAGCTTCCCGATCTAGCTTTTCCAAGAATATGCACTGCACTCCCTGCACGACGTTCGAATGTGCAAATCAGAAATCAGATCTGTGCGGTATCCGGATATCCAGGTGCCGTCATGGAGTCCTGGATCGACATCACAGGTATATTGGATCGTCTCGAGTTTCATTGCTTAGCGCGATACAAGACGCAAGGACTTCCATCTTGTTACTTGCAAGTCGCAGTTGCCCGTATAGACCTTCCAGCATGCAGCTTGCCAGCCTGCCGACTGTGCAGAATCACACCACTGGCTTTATGCGGACGCGTTCGATGCGCTGGATCCAGCGCTGTACGTTGCGGATTCGTAGCTCGAAGAAGGATACGTCACATGATTGGTGGGAAATCGAAGCAATTTGCTGCTTACACGACGCACTCGAAAAGGTCATGGCGAGCGTCCTCGCGTCGACCTGCGCCCAGCGCACGGCGCTCTTCGCCAAGTCGCTCGACGCGCTCTCTTCGTACAGCGTCTGCTCCATCGTGAAGCAGCTTGGCGCCAACAAGTTTGATTCGAAAGCGCTCCAGAGCAACGACTGCAAGAAGCCGGCGTGCGTGAGCGTGCTCGAGTCGTTCAAGTCGACGTTTGTCGGCTGCATGCTCACAGACATTGCCGACGTGGCGTCCGTCGACATGGCGCGACTGAAGAGCTACTGCGGCGGCATTGATGCGTCCTATGCGCCGGGCGCAGCGTCGCCGCAGCCGCTGCCTGAAGCGCCACCGCAAGACGCGGCCGTCGACAGCCCCATGCGCGGTGGCCTCAGTACGACGATCATCATTGCCATCACATGCGTTATCATCGCTGCGATCGTCGTCGCCGGCTACGTCTATTTGCGCATTCGACGCGGCGCGGCCTCGGCGACCTTGTACACGTCGCCACCTCCGATGCAGACAAGCAGCGATCCATATGCGTCCGTGCTAAAGCACGGAAACGCCGGGTCGCAGTCCAACACGCGGACGAGCGAAAGCAGTGCATCGAATCCTGGCGCTGACGCCTCGACCTTGGACTTGTGCGATCTCGACCTGTACCGCATCTCACCGCGCGACGTCACGCTGGACAAGTCGCTCGCTCAAGGTGCGTATGGTGAAGTGTGGCTCGGCACCCTCGATGGACACACGGTTGCCGTCAAGAAGCTTTTGAACCACCGGCGAACACGGGACGAGCTGCAAAAGTTCATTTACGAGATTGCGCTCGTCGCCAAGTACGCACCGCAACTCTTTACACATAGTGTCCACGCCATATCAACCATATACATAGGATGGAGTCGCGCTACGTCGTCCAGTTTATCGGCGTCGCGTGGACGCGCCCGAGCGATATGATGCTCGTGACCGAATACATGGATGCTGGGGACCTCCGCAACCTCCTCCAAGCGACGGCGACGACCCGCACGTTCACATGGACCAAGAAGGTCCACGTCGCCCACCAGATCGCGGAAGGGCTGGTGTATTTGTCATCATTCTCGAGCCAAAGGTCATTCACCGCGACCTGAAATCGCGCAATGTGCTCCTCAACACCAAGATGGACGCCAAGTTGACGGATTTCGGCGTCTCGCGCGAGACAGACGACGCGACCATGACGCCGGCATGGCACGTACCGCTGGATGGCGCCGGAGGTGCTCCAAGACGGCCACTACACCGAGTCGGCCGACGTATTTTCGTTTGGCGTGATCCTCGCCGAGCTCAGCAACGAGATTGTGCCCTACTCGGACTTGCGAAATGTCAACGGCAACCCGTACACGGACACGGCGATCATGGCCAAGGTCATGGTGGGCGAGCTCCAGCCGACGTTTGCGCCCGACTGCCCTCCTTGGTTTCGCGACCTGGGGCTGCAGTGCATGAGCCGCCACCATGCCGATCGGCCCACCGCCATGGAAGCCTCGTTCAAAATACAGACGGAGCTCCGGCTACTCAAGTCGTCCTCATAGTTGATAGCATATAATTAAATGGTGTCGGGTGTACATCATGTCTTTCGCACGCACCTCCACACTCGGGAGTGTCCGAGGTGAAGGCGCCTCATCACAAGCTGCTGTTGTCGATAACACTGACAAGCCACGCTTTAGGATTCGCTCCATTGCTCAATCGGCCTCGTGCACAAGCAGCTGCACATGATCGCGACCGCACACAGTTTGGCGCGAACTGTTGGATGCATCCACCACGACCGCTGTACCCAGATGCCGAGAGGCAGGTGCAAACCTGCATTCGTGATTGACGCGCATACACTCTCTATGCCTGTCTGGTGAATTCGAGGGTGACATCATTTGACGATTGGAGATGTGGACCTCGTTCGGCGTTGCCGTCATCGAGCTCGTGCTCAGCTATCTCCAGCTCATGCCGTCGGGCACACCCGATTGGGTCCTGCTCGCCGCCCGGTCGTCGCTGCGGTCGCCTGCCGCCCCGATTGTCGCCAGCACTGGCGGCGCCTTGCCCCAAAGCACTGCCGTTGGCGCCGGGCCTTTCCACTGGTCCTTGTGTCCCGACCACGCTGATGACGCCCGGTACCAGTGCGGCTACCTCACTGTGCCGCTCAATCACCTGGACCCGACCAACAATGCGACTCTCGATATCGCGGTTCAAAAGTACGTCTCGAACGCGACGGCGCCACTGGGGACGGTCCTCCTCAACCCCGGCGGTCCGGGCGGCGCTGGCACAACCATGGCAACACCTGCGATCGCAGACATGACGGGCGGTCAGTACGACGTCCTTGGCTTTGACCCGCGTGGCATTGGCAAATCGCGCCACCTCCGCTGCTCCAAGAACCGGTTCACAGCAGCCATTGAAGGTGCGGCACTCGCCAATGCCGACCTGGTCGGCACCTCGGAGTCCACGATCGACGCCTTCGTCTCCAGCAACTATGCGCTGCCGATTGCGCGCTGCCACCTCTACGACGGCGACTACCTCCCGTACCTCTCGACCGCGTTTGTTGCCCGGGACATGGACCTCATCCGCGCCGCACTCGGCCAAGATCTCATGCACTACTATGGCATTTCGTACGGCACGTACGTAGTACACATCGACTGGACGCATCGAGGGGCTCATCGGCTGCTAGGTTCCTCGGGGCGACATACGTCAACATGTTTCCGAACCGTGTCGGCCGCGTCGTGATCGACTCGGTCTTGGATCCGGAAGTGTACACTGGCCCCGTCACAAACCTGCTTTTGCGTTCGTACTCGGACAACGACGCGAGCTTTACGGCCTTTACAGACCAGTGCGAGGCCGCGGGCCCACTGCATTGCCCACTCGCGGACGCCAACGCGACGCGCCCGTACCTCATGAAGCGCCTCCAGGCCTTTCTGGCAGCGGTCGAGACCAAGCCGCTGCTTTTCAAGGGCGGCGACGACGTGGTGCGCGTGACGGCGAAGGAGATTCGACAAAATATCTTTGGCTCCATGTACTCTCCGCATGCTGCGTGGCCGCCGCTGGCGGCTACCCTCCACGCGATGCTCAACGGAACGTACGAGTCGCCGAGCACCAACTCGAGCTGCGCGACACTGGACGCAGACCTCGATGCTGGCATGGCGACGATCGCGTACGTTGGCAACGACGGCGCGCCGTCCAAGGGCCTCAACTGGACCGCGACGATCCAGGCAGCGCAGAAACTCGTGCCGCTCTCAGGCCTCGTTGGCTTTGTCAACTTGGTCGCTGTAAAAGCGTGGACCGCCCGCCCCGTCGAGCGCTTCACGGGCCCGTGGACGCACAAGTTGGCCAACAAGGTGCTCGTCTTGACCAACCAAGTGGACCCGGCGACGCCGATGCTGAGTGCGCAAAATGTACACCGCCTTTTGGGCAACGACAATGCGGTGCTTGTGACGCGCGAGGGGTATGGCCACGGCGCGCTCTTCAGTCAGCCGAGCACGTGCATCCACAAGCTCGTGGCGGCCTACTACTCCAACGGGACGCTGCCGTCGACGACGTTTTGTACGATTGACGCGACGCCGTTCGGCCCCGCGTCGCGACTTTCGGATGCGATGCATGCCATGATGACGCTTTCGACGAGCATCGCCAAGCCAGCGCGGATGTACTAGTAACTCGCATCGAGAGTACGCACCATTGCGTGCTTGCTGAGAAGGACCGACGAATATCATATTGATACAGTATAAGCACGTGAGAGAGATGACATAGTCGATGATATGACTGACGTGTGATCGTCTTGGATTGCTTGCGACGCCTTCATTGCTTGCATCGCTTACAGAGCTCGTACGAACGGGCTGCTGCTGCACCTGATCACCTTGCTCCAGCCCAAAAAGCCTCTCTGGGCGCTCTACGGCTGGTGCCATGCCTTCGAGTGGCTGGACTGTCGCCGTGAAGTCGTCTCGTTTCAAGACGACTCTGATGCGATTGCATCGATATCGTCGGGTGCCATGTCGATGCGGACACCGCCGCGGGATCTTTAATTGTGCGCTCATGAGCGGTCACGTAAGCCAAACACGTACTGTGTTGACTGGGAGTAAAATTTAAATGCAAGACCTGGCTGCTTACCAAACGTGGCTCCATCTGATATTTGGTACTAAAGAAACACAACCAGAAGCTCGACTCACAACAGACGGCATGTCTGGCAGTGCCCAGACGCCTTGGACCTGGAACAAGACATCGTGCCTAACCCATAGAATGTAATTCCACTGGCCCCGACACAACTCTATCGAGCGTCGAGAAGCACCACGTGCTCTTGGGCCGGACACACCACCACCACGAAGCAAAACTGAGCAGGGGAGCTGTGTTGAAAATCACCACCTTTGTTGAACACTCTTTCGATTGGCTCCGAAGCGAAATGACGTGCATTCCGTACCTACAATCTGCCGCGTCAACGCTCCTGCACCATAGGTGATATCAGTCAGTAGGCAATTCCGTTCGCCATGGTCGCGCTGTCATCTCTCGCCGTCGCATGGACGCAGCTCCTGAGCAACTACGCGCAGCTCTTGCCGTCAAGCGCCGCCGATTGGGCGCTCTTGGCCTACAATGTTCTCGATCGTCCGAGTTCTCCTAGAGTCTCGACACCCCATGCGGCGTCCGTCGGCACTGCCGTTGGCGCCGGGCCTTTCCATTGGTCCTTATGCCCCGACCATGCTGATGACATGCGGTACCAGTGCGGCTACCTCACTGTGCCGCTCGACCACTTGGATCCGACCACGAATGCGACACTCGACATTGCCGTTCAAAAGTACACGACGAACGCGACGCCATCGCTCGGCACGATCCTCGTCAATCCGGGCGGTCCCGGCGGTCCCGGCACGGGCATGGCCATCCCGCTCATGGCGACGATCACAGGCGGTCAGTACGACATTCTCGGGTTCGACCCGCGCGGCATTGGCAAGTCACGCCCGATGCAATGCTCCAAGAACCGGTTCACGGCCGCGATCGAAGGCGCTGCGATCGCCGACCTCGAGTCGCCACTCGCCCACGGCTTCATCTCGGACGCCGAGGCTGACGCCTACGCCTCCAACTATGCGCTGCCGATCGCGCGTTGCCACCTCTACGACGGCGACTACCTCCCGTACCTCTCGACAGCGTTTGTTGCCCGGGACATGGACCTCATCCGCGCCGCACTCGGCCAAGACCTCATGCACTACTACGGCGTCTCGTATGGCTCGTACGTGCACTCGATGCAGCGAGTACACCTGTGCTCACGCGTCGTCTGTCGTAGGTTCCTCGGTATCACGTACGCCAACATGTTTCCTCAGCGCGTCGGCCGCTTCGTCATTGATGCGGTGCTCGACCCTGAGCTCTACACGGGTCCTGCGCCCGCGCTCATGGCCGGGTCCTTTCGCGACACGGACAGAATTTTTGCGGGTTTTGCGGCCGACTGCGAGGCCGCGGGCCCGCGTAATTGTGCGCTCGCCGATAGCAGTGCGCCGCGGCCCTATCTCTTGTCGCGCTTGCGTGCGTTCTTGGCCAACGTGACTGCGTCGCCGCTGCTCGTGCCCGGCGGCGATGATGTGGTGCGGCTCACCGACACTGCCGTGCGCAACCTCATCGTGCCGCACCTCTACTCGGCCATGCGCTGGCCGCAGCTCGCACTCGAGCTCAAAGCGCTGATGGACGGCACGTACTCGGCGCCTTTGAAAAATGCCTCGTGCGACGACTTGGATGCGGACACTGGCGTCGGCATGGCGTACCAAGCCTACATTGGTAACGACGGCGACTGGGAGGGGAACGCCAAGGCCAACTGGACGAGTGCGCTCCGCTCCGTGCAGAACGCGACCCGCGTGCTGTTTGATCCGGAGATGAACAACATCATGGCCGTCAAGTTTTGGAAGACGCGGGCCGTCGAGCGCTACGATGGCCCGTGGGGGAAAGCGTATGCCAACAAGGTCGTCATCCTCAACAACGAGCTCGACCCTGTGTGCCCGCTCCACTCTGCCCAGCACGTTCGCGACCTCATGGGTCCAATGCACTCTGTGCTCGTCACGCGCGACGGGTACGGCCACGGCGCGGCCGTGAGCCAGCCAAGCGCGTGTTTACACCGCATTCTCGTCGACCTCTACTCGAATGGATCCTACCCCGTCAACGACACGCGTTGTGGCGTGGACCACGGACCGTTCGACGCACCGACGCTTCCAACGACGTTGCTCGATGCCATGACGCGCCTCGCAACCATGCGGATCCGAAAGTAATTTTGTTCCGTGTGCATACATTGTCACCTCTTCGTTTTGGTGCTTGGCGCCGAGGCGAGACGCTCACAGGGTCGGTGTTGCGCCGTACTAGTACAGTGGCTCGGGCGATGGTACTAGCGCCCAGTCGGTGGCCGCTGCTTGCATCCGCGATGGCCAAGCTCCTGCGCAACGAGAGTGTCGATATCGTGTCGTGGCGAGATAACGTCGAGTGTCCTTCGTCCAGCGCAAGTGCGTGGCGCGACATCGCTCGTCTTCCGTTGCTTGCGTCGCCACAGGTCACTTATTCCGAGAAGCCATCGGCCCGTAGCATGCCACCGGTCTCGACAACGTATCGTCGTCGTATCTTGGTTCTGGCCGCGGAGCTCCACGCATGGGCGACCAAGGCGACAGCAGATCACATCGTTCGTATGCTCAGCGTCGCCAACGCCGCGCTCGTCAGCAGATCACATCGTTCGTATGCTCAGCATCGCCAACGCCGCGCTCGTGGTACGCGACGGCTATGGTCACGGCGCTAGAGTGAGCCAACCGAGTCGCTGCGTGCATGCGCTTCTCGCCGCGCTCTGCACCAACGGCACGTATCCCTTCGAGCGACGCTGCACTGTGGACGCGCGGCCATTCCAGATGCAGTTCGAGGTGCTCTTGGACCCCGCGTGAAGGCCATGTATACGGTCGCAGCTGCTCTCCATGGCCATTCCTGAGGTGGCCTACTAGTGCTTGCCATCTTTTGAATCTTGATTACGCAAGACACCATTTCTCTGTTCTTTTTGCTCCGTCTTGATCGCCCAACATGATCGATGGATGCCGCGCACGATGCCGTGGCTGTGCCGAGGCTGGCGATGGTCCGGCGTGCACTACAGACACGTGGCAGCCTCCTGGCCCGCGCTGACATTGCCCTTTCTGTGAGGTTGAAGTTGGCCGATAAAAATAGCACCAATCACGACACGTCGAATATCTCAGATATCGAAGGGCCGCCTCGAAAAGAACAGTAGATCAGCATGGCGCCGGCCTGCGACATCGCGGCCGACGCACTTGGCATCTTTCTGGAAGGCCTTCTCCTGCCTTGCGAGACACTTCTGGCCCTACTCGTGTGTAGCCTCTCGTCCGCCGAGCCGGCCATCCACCACTACGCACTGGCAAACATGAGCACCAAGACGACGTCCGAGACGCTGCCAGCGACGCTTACGACCGCCTTGCCGCGCCTTCACGTGCGGTCGCCGGCTAAAACCAAGCAGCAGCAGGCGCGGCCATCGATGCTCGACCTCTTCTCCGAACCATCCTCCTCCGAGACGCTCGTGCGTGGCCTCTCGTATGCCACAGACGGCAAGAAAGTACCGGCAGGCGACTGCCTCGGAACGCTCCTGCATGTCGACTTGTGGAAAGCGACCGACGAAATGCCTGGCCGACAAGACCACGTCGCAGAACTCGACTTGCGCCGCCCGTCGAGCCTCCTCGCCGCGAGTGCATCGGCCGACCCCGGCGACACCATCTTCATTGTCAACCTGCAGGTAAAGACGTGTCGGCTGCTGTCGTCGCCATCCATAGCGGGATCGATCGTAGGTGCCCGGCACGCCCTTTGTGCATGTTGTTTCCTATTGGCGACTTTCCGCCGAGGCGCTAGCAAGTGACGCCAAGTTTGCAGGGCTCTTCACCCGATTCCAAAGCAACGAGCCCGAGGCGCAGTCGTTCCAAGACGCGCGCTTCAAGCTCGTGCCAACGATCGTTGATGGCCCGTGGCTCATCAAGGCCGCCGTGCCGCAGAAGCCAGCAATCACTGGCAAGAAGCTCACGCAGCGCTACTTCGTTGGCAGCAACTACGTCGAAGTCGATATGGACATTGGGTCGAGCGCAATCGCGTCCAATATCGTGAGCCTCTGCCGCGGGTTCGTTGAGTTTGCCATGACATGTCATCCTCATCGAGCCTTATTAGCTACGCCGAGCGGCTCGTTGTGGACTTGAGTTTGACTCTACAAGGCAACAGCGACGCCGAGCTGCCGGAACGCATTTTTGGGTCGGTGCGCTTTTCACACTTGGATTTAACACTGGCGACGGCGATGCCACCGCGGTCGCCATGACCGCAAGACGGGCGACAGTAGTATGTAGTACATCCGATTGTAACCTTATGGCAACACCTAACCATCGTGTGAGCGTCGTTTCAAGAAGGTTGTGTCGTCGTAATACTTTGTACGGGTTGAGGATGCCGTTCGGATCAAACACGCGCTTCATTTGCTGCATCATGCGGATGGCCTCGGGCGACTTGGACAAGTGCAAAAAGTGCGGCTTGTGCGTCCCGATGCCATGCTCGGCGCTGACGCTGCCCCGGCGCTTGGCTACATCGCATATATTCTGTCAACTATATGCCGTGATCAGATAAGACAACCTGTCCACTCGAAAAGGAAGGGTTCGAGCGCCTTTTGCACTGCATCGTCGTATGCGAGCGTCGAGATGTTGAGGTGGATGTTGCAGTCGCCGAGGTGCCCAAACGCCACGACCTTGGCGTCATGGCTGGCGAGTGCGGCACGTGTGTCGTCGACGATCGCATAGTACTCGTCGATCGGAATCGAGAGATCGTACTTGTACACGTGGCCGCGCGAGCTCAGCGAGAGTGTAATGTCTTCGCGAATACCAAAGAGCTTCTTGGCTTGCGCTGCGTCTTGGGCCACGGTCCCGTCGACGACCGTGCCAGCCTCCATGACCTGCTCGAGGTACCCCTCGAGCTTCTCCATGTCGTGCGTCTCGTTCGAGCCCGAGGTCTCCAAGAGCACGTAGAAAGGGCAGTTGGAGCTCAACGGATCCGAAAGCGACGGCTGCTGCGACATGACCATGTCCAGCGATGCGCGGTCCATAAACTCGACGGCCGAGAGGATCTCGCCAAGGTTCTTTTTGGCCTAATGCGATACTGCAACGTGAGCAGCAAGAACGAGAGCGTGCGATGTCTACCTGCACAAAAGCTTTCTTGACGTCCTCGAACGTTTCGCAGCCAAGGAGCGCGACGTTGACCGCCGTCGAGCGGGGCGGCGTAAGCACCGAGAGCTTGGTGATCACGCCGAGCGTGCCCTCGGACCCGATGAAGAGCTGCTTGAGGTCGTAGCCCGTGTTGTCCTTGCGCATCGTGCTCAAGCAGTCGACAATCTACATGTTGGGTACGTGAAATGAAAATATTCAATCGATTGTGCAAAGGGGTGTACCGTGCCGTCGGCGAGGACAGCTTCGATGCCGAGGATCGAGCCATGGAGCGACCCGTAGCGCAGGAGGCGAAGGCCACCTGCGTTCGTCGCCGCGTTGCCGCCAATCTGACACGTGCCCTTGGCGCCGAGGTCCAGCGGCATCATATAGCCGTACTTGCCAGCATACGCATCCAGGTTTTCGAGGATGCAGCCAGCCTACGTCCATTGTCCGAACGTTCACGTCATCGACAAGATGGCGGGTCTACCTGGCACACGATGATGCCCGACGTCTCGTCAAACGCTTCGACTTGGTTCATGTTGCCGAGCGAGAGGATGATCTCGTCGTGGACGGGCACGCTGCCGCCGACGAGGCCAGTGTTGCCTCCCTGGGGCACGACCGCGAGCTTCTTCTCGTTGCAGTACTTGAGAATGTCCGAGACCTCTTGCGTGCTCTTGGGCCGCAGCACCAACTGGCTGTGGCCATGGTACTTGTTGAGCCAGTCCGAGTTGAACGGGGCAATCTCGTCCGGGTCCGTGAGCGCACTCGGGCAGACCGACCGGAGGTGGGCGACGTCCGCCGCGTCAAGCGTCGCAAAGGCGCCGCGCGCCGCCGTCGCAAACGAACGCTTGCTCATGGCGCGGGCCATCGTCGAGCGCAGGTACATGGCCATCGTCGATCGCTGGCGAATCTTCGTGTGATGCGTCCCCGTAAATCTTTCCGGATCACGTGACAACCCGATCAAGTGCGCTTTTGGCGCAATAAGAACTTAAGCAGGCACGTGCCGCATGTGCTCGACGCGCAAGAATTTTCTGCCGCGCGTTTCGAGGGTACCGGGCCACTACCAACCGGTCTCGACGGTCGGTGCAGGTGCCTGCAGCCACATCCGCCATCTGCAGGCGCTCGTGCATGGGACTTGGCGTGTACCCTCCTGCATTTTTGTCTCATCGTAGTGGTATCGACAAGAGCAGTGGCTTGGCTTCTGTGAGCGTCCATTTTGCAGGGATAAACCATTTCGTCTCCCGCATCGTTGCCGACTTCCCGTGGCTGCGCGCCTCGCCAAGATCCAAGGCGTCTGTATATGCACATAGTTGTGCATATGCTATGTTGGTTCACTTGGCGTGCGAACCAACGGTGTGTGCTGCATGCGTGATCGACTTGCGGTGTACGTACGATGTGCCACGCCGCGTGAATGATTTTCGGTAGGTCCCTTTGGTGGGGGTCCTGACGGGGGGCCGAACACGGGAGAGCAATAACGATAGACCAATCAAATGCGTCCGGCGATTTGATTGGTGTTCAAGTTGATTGGATTGAGCTTCGAAAATTGTTTCTGTCCGTTTTTAAAATACAATGTTTTAAATCTACTTTGTGTTTGTATATGATGCGATGCAAACCAAATAAAAGACGTCCGATTTATGTCATTAAAATAGCACTGCGACGGGTCTCAAGCATACTTGGAAATCCGCCATGTTGACGTGCACGGCCTGCCGGGAAGAGTTCCCGACGTACGAGCTCCAGAAGGAGCACTTCAAGCTCGACTGGCACCGGTACAACCTCAAGCGCAAGGTCGTGGGCCTCCCGCCGGTCACCGAGGCGCAGTTCCAGGCGCGCAAGGCTGACGGCGCGTCGGCGCTCGCGGCTGCGCCCAAGGAGGCGCCGGTCGACATGAGCTACAAGTGCCACAACTGCGGCAAGAGCTTCACCAACACCAAGGCGCTCGACAACCACAAGGCGACGAAGAAACACATGGCGGCGGTCAAGAAGGACGGCGAAGAGAAGATCACGTCCAAGGTCCTTGAACCCGTCAAGGACGACGAGCCCGTGGCCGAAGACGAGGAAGAAGACCCGGACGCCAACATCTCGCTCAAGCTCGAAGACTGCATGTTTTGCACGCAGTCGTCCGAGTCGCTCGAAGCCAACTTGATCCACATGCAAAAGATGCACGGCTTTTTCGTGCCCGACCTCGAGTACCTCAAGGACCTCGAAGGCCTCATGACGTACCTCGTCGAGAAGGTCAAGCTCGGCCACTACTGCCTCTACTGCAACACAAAGGGCAAGGTCTTCCGCACGTACCAGGACGCGCAAAAGCACATGATCGACCGGTCGCACTGCAAGCTCATCTACGAAGAGGACAACGATCTCTACGAGTACGAAGAGTTTTATGACTTTACGTCGTCGTACGGCGACGACGGCCAAGAGTGGGAAGACGTCGAAGAAGTCGAAGGCGAAGAAGGCGACGACGACGACGACGAAGATGAGCTCGCGCACATCAAGACGATCAGCATCTCCGAGACAGGCGAGCTCGTGCTTCCGAGCGGCGCGCGCCTCGGCCAGCGCGAGCTGCGCCGCTACTACAAGCAGCGCCACCGCCCCGACGAGGTCCGCGAGTCGGTCTTGGCGCAGACCAAGGAGCGCCTCCTGCTCGCGTACCAGATGGCTGGCATTGACGCCAGCACGACAGCGATCACGATCTCGTTTGCCAACAAGTTTCTTAACCGTCGCCAAGGCAACATGGAGCTGCGCACGATCCAAGAGGCCGTCAGCGTCCGCCACAAGTTCCAGAAGCACCGCGAACGCCTCGAGGTGCGCTCGCACAAACTGCAGAAGCACCCCAACCGTCGCAACCTTATCACGGTCTAAGGGCCTTTCTCTGCGCGCTGCATGGTCAATTGTTAAAGTATTAAATAGAACACAATATTATTGCACAAACAATGGCTTCATAGCAAGCGCCGACCCAAACGAGGCGTTGGCGGTAATGGCAATCGGCCCGACGGGGGCACACTAGCCCCCGAAGCATAGTTGTACGGGTTGAACGGCTGTATCGGAACGACGTCGGCCATCGTCGCTGCGATGGACCCCATGCGCTCCAAGTGTGCGGGGCTAGGGTCCGAACCCTCCGGCACGCTCGCAAACGTCAACTAAAAGTCGGCGAGGGTGGGACGGTGTTGGAGAGGACTTTCAGCACCTGGTCAATGGAAGCAACGCGGTAGAGAACAAAGCCAGAAGTGTTGCTATCGGCGGCAGAGGAGGACGACACCATTGCAAAGTACTCGGACTGCTGCTACGACGATTTGAGTTGCACCGCTTGAAGTACGTTGTGACCTCGTTGTTGGTGCATCTCAAGACGAGCGCCATGTTCTTCGTCTGCAAGAGGTGCTGCAGCCCCAAGCACAAGTCCGCGTTCTCGGACGGCGCTGGCTCCACGTCGGCATGGAGAGGGTAGCCCAAGACGACGCTGCCGTCAATGGACGAAAGCGGCACGTAGTGCAGACCCGTCATGGCCCCAAGACCCGCATGCATGGACGCGCGCGACTCGTCGCGGTACAAGCACATGGCGCTTCGAAGGACGAGGTGGAGGCGCATTGGCTTTTCTTTGAATGCGATCGTGCACGGTACGTACGACTGCAAGCGCCGCAGCCATGGTTTCTAGCATAAAGTGTAGCTGCACAAGGTGTAGGCAGCCATAGAATACCATCGTGCGACGCAGGTCAAGCAGGCTGTCTTCAGCTTGTACGACCGAAACGTGGGGAAAGGCTCCGATGCTTTCGACGAGCTCCATGATCGCGGCCACCGTAGCACCAATGTCTTCGTCGTCGCGTCGAAGCAAGATCATCTCCATGTGACCGGACGACGCCTTCCAAAAGCTCACGAGGCGTCGTGTCTCGGGCAGGTGCGTCGGCGACGTCAAGATGAGGATGGTACCATCAGCTTGCAGGAGAAGCTCAGCGACGCGACCAAAGTCTTGCGCGCACGAGCATCGCCCTTCCTGATGAGAAAGAGGAGAGCGCGGAAACGCGCTCTTGATGGCGTCGATTTGGCTCTGGAGGCTGCTCATGGAGCACACGGGGCGACGGACGGGCGCGCCGGCGCCGATGGCGTTGACGCTGGCGACGACGGCCGAGTGGCGCAGGAAGGAGATGGCCATGAAGACCTCAGAGAGCACGGAGAGGCAGCGATAGAGCGCTCCCTCCTCCATGCCACAGACGTTGACGAGTACATGGACTGGCGTCGTCTCGGCGCGGACTTGCGCCATGCGGCCGACGATCTTTCTTGGGAAATGAGCTCCGCGTGTGTTTCATTGGTCAAAATGTAGCCAATCAAGAGGATTTTGCCAATTGCGCTAAAAACACGCCACGCGACTATTGCGTTGCGCCATGGTCTGCACGCAAAGCGGGCTTTGCAGAGCATGGAGTTGCGTGTGTTTAGCATAATGATGGGCCGATTGATTGGGTGAAGTCCTCGGACAAATCGGATTTGCCAATATGGCCCAGCCCCGGAAGCAAGGCCACCAGTGCTCGTACGCGACGTCGGCCGCGATCTCAGGCGCCGACATCACGGTCGCAGTCATCCAAGACACTCGTCAGGTAGACGGGCTAGGCGGCGAAGTGTGGCCCGGCGCCCATCTTCTCTGCCAGCACTTGGAAGTCCATGCCGCGAGCCTCAACCTCGCAAATGCGCGCGTCCTCGAGCTTGGCGCGGGCTGTGGCCTCTGCGGTCTCGTTGCCGCTGCCCTTAAGGCGCCGTCTGTGACGCTCACGGACGAATATCCCGATTTGCTGCAGACCAACATCGACTTGAACCGCGCTTGGCTCGGCAACCAGGTCGTGGACGCCCGCGAGCTCGTGTGGGGGGATGAAAGCGTTCGAGACGAAGGCCTCGCCTTTGACATTGTCTTGGGCAGCGAAATCACGCAGCTCGGACGTGGGTTGCATCGCCCGCTCCTGGAAACCGTGACCTGGGTCGCCCACGCGTCGACAATCGCGCTCTTCTCGATGGACGTGTGTCGTGACACGTGTATTGGCGAGTGCAATCCTGCGCGTTGCATTGCGTCCCACTTTGTCTACATGGCGCGCGAAGTCGGCTTCGCCGTGAAGAAGCATCCGTCCGTGTGTCTGACGTCCATGCCGTCCGTGACCAAGGCCGTCGGCGCGCTCGGTCGCACATGGCCGCTTGAGGGAGACGAGCTCAGCACGGTCTTCGAGCTAACCCTAAATTCCACACACGAATAAGACAATGTCTCTTGCTTCGCTTTGATCATGTTGCTTGAGCTTCTGTTGCCTTGGGGTTGCAGGTTTTTGTGTCATCGCGATGGGCCTCTTTCATGGCTCTACCATCCTCGCTCTTGAGACTAGCTCTACAGATGTAATTTTGAATGACAAGGTATGACAAGTTGTCGTTCAGGTTGTACCGACGCCCTCATGAGAACCTCAGGCGGCGTCGACTCGAAAGCGCGGGAAGGGCGACGCTTTGAAATGGACACCTTTTTGACCAATCAGACGCGAGGTGCCAGAACAGACCAATTGCATCGCATGGCGTTTTGAAAATCCAATTCGCCATCGACCGACGAACCTCGGCGCGGACGCGGGCAGGCCAAGCGCGCGTGTACATAGGACGTCCACGGAAGGAAGACATGGCCATGGACATGCACGCTTCCTCGATGGAAGATGACCTACGGAAGCATCGGCAGCCACCGAAGGTACGACTGCAGGCGCGACGACGTCGCTCATCGTCGAGGGCTCATGGTGAGGCCAGATGGATGAGCCCTATCCTCGGCTGCAGGACGGCCGCTACGACGCACACCTCGACCGACGCATGACGATGAACGAGCTCGACATGTCGTTCTCGCTCTTGAACCCGGAGAAGTCCAACTTCCTCGCGAGCCTTGTATGGACTTGGTTGGTACCGCAAGCGCTCATCGCGCGGCGATAGGAAGCGCGACAAGACGAGCATCCGCTGCTGCCGATCGTTTTCGAGCAGCTTTGCGCCGTCCACGAGTCGTACCAGACGCAGACGCGCATCATGAAGCGATGGAAGGTACACTGCTCATCATACGTCGGACAGTACAGGACCTTCTGCAATGCTCTCTAGGACGCCGAGCTCGAGCTGAGCTTGACGCAAGAGAAGAACCACGAAGGCGATGTGCAAGAGCTCATCGACGTAGGGTGTCTTGGCTGCCACTTGCATGTAACTTGCCCTCATATAGGTCATTGAGGACCTGCGGCAAAAGATGACGTTCTCCGAGACCAAAGATGCGAGCTCGCGACGGCAGTCCCGAGTGAGTGTCGACTCGTTCACCAACGACAGCGGCCTCGTCGCGTTCCTGTCCCAGCAACTTGAAACCGCGCAGAGCCAGCTCCTCGATCTTGAGCGCGACTTCAACGTCAAGACGGCCCGACAGGACGTCATGCGCGAGCAGCTCGAGAACCAAGCCATGACGCTCCAAGACGTCAACCAAGAACTCACGAACGAGTTGCTTAAGCTTCGGGCGACCCACAGCAGCGCGTTGCCAACCAGCGCGGCGTGTGAGACAGCCAACACAGAGCTCCGGGATGAGATCACGCGTCTGCGCGCCGACTGCGAGGCCATGGATGCGCAACACACCCGCACGCTGGATGCCCTCAAACACGAGCTCGGTGCGCTCACGGACGAGAATGCATCGCTTGTCGCGCGTAATTACGCTCTGGAGAGCCACATCGCCGGCCTGAAAGCACCCGTCGCCTCTCAATCGCCAGCAAACGAGCCATTGAAGGGCCTTGAAAAGAAGCTTGACGAAGCCCGCATCACTAATCTCGGTCTCGCAGAGCGCAACGTCGCGCTCAATGATCAAGCGGTGCGGCTCGAAATGGAGCTTCGGGACGCGCTGGCGCGAAGCCAACGTCTTGTCGACGTGGAGAAGCAAAACCAGACGCTCCAGCAGCTGCTTTGCGAAGCCCGCGACGAGACCGAAGAGCTCCAGTCGGTCAGCGACGCCATGCGCAAGGAAAACACGTTTCTTCTCGACCAAAACACCGAGCTCATGCACGACGTGCGCGTGCTCTCGTCTGCTGTTGACGATCTCAAGCTCGCACAGATGAGAGAGACGACCGCATCGGACACGACACCGACAGAACAGCACCAGAAGGACGTCCATGCCGATCAAATCGCGATGCTCGAGACCGCCCTTGCCGAGAACGATGCCAAGATCACTGCCCTCCGTGATCTCAACCAGGACACGCTTGCCGAGCTCGAGACGAAGCTGACGCATATTCAGACGCTGGAGACACAGCTTGTTGAGCGTCCGTCATCGTCTTCGCCCGACGACCGTGTGCACTTGGTCCAGGAAAACGCGCGTCTGCGAACGGTCGTCGAAGAGCTTGAAGCCGATCTTGGTCAGCGCACGACCGAGCTCGCGCGTATGGAGCGCAGCCTCGCATCCATCCGTGCGGCCCCATCCCAAGCTGAGCTTGCCGCTGTACATGCGCTGGAAGTGATGAAGCAGCGCGAAACGCGGTTGCAAGAAGAGGTCCACCGGTTGACAGCTAAGGTCGACGCCATGGCGGTCGAGCGCGATGACTTGGTGCGCAGCATCAACGACAGCGAACGCTGGTCCGTCCAGATGCGCGACGAGATGAAGCGCATGGATACGCAGTTTGAGCAAGTCATGACCCATAGGACGCAGGATCTACAGCGCCAGCACGACAGCTTGACCGACGCGTTGGCACGCGAGAAGGCAATCGTAGCGCAGTTGCGGGACCAAGTGGCCAAGATTCCCGCTGAAAGTCCCGAACTGGACGAGCTTCGCGCCGTGCATCACACACTGCGAAACATGATTGTCGACATTGCAGAGCACGTGGCGGTCGACTGCCCGCGGCGCGCGTCCCAAGACCCAAATGAGCTTGTCGCCGCGCTGTCTGGTCTCCGGCATCACGTGTGGAGCCTTGAGCAACACAAGGCTGCGTCGACCGCCGAAACGCAAGGCCTGCGCGACGCGACGACGCGCGTCAATGACGAACTCGCAGCGATGCGCCAGGAGCTTACCAAGGCACACACTGCCGAAGCGCATCTCAAGCGTCAACTGACAACGGCCGAGCAAGCGCTACGCGCCAAAATGACCGAGCTGCGACAGAGCGCCAACAAAGTGGAAATTCTGGAGGCTGAGCTGGTGGCGCGCACTGACGCTGGCGAGGTATGTGATGACAGGGCACTGCTTGCATCCGGCTGACGTGTTAATGTAGGCGAGTCGGCGAGATATCAAGAAGCTTAAGTCGCAAGTGCAGGACCTCCAAGACGAACACGAGCGCTGTGCCTTGCGGGTTATTGATCTCCTGAGCCTCCTTGGCGTCGCGGCCACCAACCCCCAACAGCTACACATTTCAAAGGCGCTCGACCATGCAACGCGGCGTGTGGCAGCAATCCTCCGCTCCGCCAACGAAAAGCTCCAGGGCACAGCGACGGCGCACGAAAACGAACGCGACTCGCTCAGCGCCCAGCTGCGCGCGGCCACCGAGCGCGGGCTCCAGCTCGAAACGGATGTCACCGCCTTTCTGACGGCGCTCTTTCGCACTTTTGGCCGCGAGTACGACGCCACGCGTACAATGCACGAGGCGTTTACGACCACCACCGAGCTGGTTGCCGACTTGCAGCGTCAACGCCAGACGGCAACGACCACCGCGCACGGGTCGTCGGACCGGCGCCTGGCGACACTGGTCGCAAGATCGAGCGCATGAACGAGCACATGACACAGATGTTTCACGAGTGCCTCGTGCTTCAGCGCATGAACGAATCGTACGCGCACGAAGTCGCGCACCTGCGGGCGCGCGAGAAGCACCTCGAGCACGACCTCGTCTCGGTGCTCGGCAATTCGAACCGTCGGGTCCCCGAGACGCGATAAAAACAACACGCACGTAGTAGTATTAGTATTAGGACGGACGACTGCCCTGCATTGCGTACATGGAGTGACCATACGTGGCCATGATCGAGCCCGTTGACGCGACCGACGACGGTCGCGGCGACTCGGGCGCATGTCCATTGTACAATGGCCGTGGCCCCACCATCATTTGGTGGTTGCTCGCGATGCTCGCGTTCCGGTCCCGAGTCGGGTCGTAGGCACTGATGGGGTTCGACGTCGCACGGACTTGTCGCGTCGGGTCGAACAAGATAGCGCTCGACGAGTTCCGGTCTCTTCGCGTCGAGACGCTCGACTTGGTGCGCGTCGGGCGCGTCGGGTCCATGTCCACGTAGTAGCCCGTCGCGTTCGAGGCGATGCGGCCGCGATGGATCGGGTACTCGATGCGGTTCTCTTGCAGGTACTGCAAGTCGACGTTGTGTCGCCTGGCGTTCTTCTCGTCGTCGTCATGGGCCTCGGAGAACGAGTCGTGGACGGCGATGCGGGATGTGTCCATGACGGCGCCCTGCATGATGGGAATGTCCGAGTGCTGGCTCGCGATCGGGCACGGACTCCCGCCGTACGAGTAGAGGCCGGCGCGCGAGAGCTGCCACTGCGTCCAGAGCATGCGCTTGTGCTGGCGCTGCTTGTAGTAGCTCACGCCGAGAAGAGAAAAGAGCGCGATGGCAACGACGCTCGTCGACGCGATGAGCACGATCGTCGTCGTCGAAAGCGACGACGCTCCGAGTGGTGCTGCAATCGTGATCGTTTGGAACGTCGCGACGTCGAGGCGCGTGCCCTGAAGCGTGTTGAGTGTCGCCCACGCGTACACGACGTACGAGCCCGGCGCGGTCCATCGTAAGGTGGCGGCGGTGGTCCCGTTGCTGGGTGTGAACGGCGAAGTGGCGAGCGGTTTGGAGCCCGAGAATGGCGAACACGGCGCGGTGCAGGTCACGACGCGCGACCAAGCGACGCTCCAGTTGGCCGGGAGGTCCACGAGGTGGCTCGCCGCGCTGATGTCGGGCGTCACTTGCCACGCGACGAGCGTCGACGCGTTGAGCGCCGGCGTGGCGTCGAGGCCGCGAAGCGTAATGGCCACGGGGCACGACGACCCCGTCGAGTGCGTTCCGAGCATCGAGGTTGCGTCGACGTCGTGGATGGCGGTCGGCGCAAAGAGCTTCCAGCAGTAGGTCGTGCTGGGCGCGAACGACGAGTCGTCAGCCGACGACGTTGTCGTGTCAACTTTGAGCTGAAAGTACGAGGCCATGTGCACATGTCGCCCGTCCAGACCGCGCATGACGACATGTGCAAACCGAGGTAGAGCCCCGTCGGTAGGCTCAGGAGCGTCGTCGCAAACGACGCCGATTGGCTCGACTCGCTGATGTTGCCCGCGAGGTCCTGGGACGACGCCACGTAGGGCTTTTGGTTGAACACGTGGCAGTAGCCGTCGTCGACGTTGCTGCACAAGTGAACCGCCGTGTGCAGAACGCTGGTCGGCGAAATGCGCATGCCACCCGCGTACTCGGCACGGACATGGAGCGACCACGCGATCGGGATCGGCGACAGGCTCTGCGCGGCCAGTGGCGACGTGACGTTGAGTGCGATCGGGCAGTCGGCGGAAAACCCGGCCGAATCGTCGCGGTTGACGAGCCGATCGTACGCGACTTGGTCGGTCGCCCAGCAGTAGGTGGACGTCGCGTCGTAGGTTCTAGCAGTCGCATGAGGTCATGGAATAGAGCGGACGAGACACGTACACGGGAAAGCGCGTCGGGATTGGGTACTGGACGTCAATGGAGCGAAACGTTGCAAAGTGAAAGAAGGAGCCTTGGAGGTTGGCGACCGAGAAGCGCGCGAGGACGATCAAACTGCCGGCGCGGTCCGGCAGCAGCAGCGGTTCTGGCGGCGCCAAGCTCGTGGCACCGACTGCCGTGACGTTTTTGCGCACGGGCGACGAGACAGCGAGGTACGGCAATGCCGACGGCACTGTGTCGCCCTGCGACGTAGTCTCGTTGCTGAGGAAGAGACCGATGTAGCTGTCGGCAATCTGAGCTGGCGCTTCGCTTTGGTTGCGCCGGCTGAACTGGATCTGGGCGAGGTCGAAGCCCAGCGCTGACGGTCCAACGTACTTGGCCGTGAACGCAATGCCCTGCAGCGGCTGGCGCGGCTCGCCGTTGGGCACGAGGAGGAGCGTCTCAAACCCGCACTGGGCGCCTATGTACGTCGATGACGGCGCCGCGTCCGACCAGCAGTAGACGACGCTGCCGGTTGTGTCGAGGCCGCTGACAGCGAGTACGTGGAGCCACGCTATCCAAAGGAGCCGGACGACGCCATGGCGGGCAACCATGTCTGATGTCGACCGGCAAAATCGTGAAATCAAGTCAAACGCCACCGCGACGTACGTTTAACGTGGGTTAAACCTGTTTTGCCGCGATTACTCACGGCGCACGCTACGGCCGACGCGCCCTTTGTCCGTAGCACATCGGCTGCTTCAGTACGCTCATACGCAGACGCATAGATGTGTCCGAGGCACTGCCAGCATACTGACTCGTTAACCAGTATACAATTGTATGAAGGCGGCGAGCACCTTATACCCCGTGGTACAGGCGGTGACAGACCGACATTGCACATTGCACTTTCCGTGTCTATCCAAACGTTGGCGCCATGTACTATCTATCCAGTCGAGCTATCCAGTCGCGCTTTGTAATGATTTGCTGTCGTCCTGTGCTCACTTTGGCAACCGTTGTGTAACCAACCGGAAGCGATGGGCTTTTGGCGGACCGAGGTGCCGGCACCCGATGAGCGGTCCGTCGCCATGACGCGGCCATCCCATGGTGAGTAACACACGCCGATAGGATGCTCAAGACGATCGAGAAGCTCCAATGTACTACATACTACGGTATTTCGAGTCACACGCTTGACGGTGCCAATTTAGTGACGGAACCCGACTTGCGCAAGATGTACAAGCATTTCTGCCGCTCCGACAAGGAGGTAGACATGTGGTTTTGGTGTTTGCATTACCCTGAGAATGCGCTGCTTTCTAGTACGCCCTCGACAGTCGATAGCATTGCACTAACGCTTCCATGCGACGACAAATAGCGGCAGCGGGACCATCGACCGCGACGAGTTCTTCCGCAGCGTCCGCGAAGAACGCACGGCAGTTGGTGACGCCGTCTTTGCCCTCATCGGTGCCTTTCGACACGATGGATTCTTTGCCTGATCGCAACCGCTGTAGATATTGACGGCAGCGGCGAGCTCGATTTCAGCGAGTACGTCGAGGCGCTGGGCGCCTTCTGCCTTCTCAACACGCAAGAGATCCTCAAATGCACGCACACACAAGGCAGGGATGCGGACTTGACGTCGCCTTTGTGTAGTCTGTTTCTTTGTCTTTGATCTGGACAAGAGCGGAACAATCGAAGACGTATGACACAATACACTGCTGGTAGATACGTACCTTGTGCGTAGGCGGAGCTCGCAGCGCTCCTCGAAGTGCTGCACGCCGATGGAGGCACGAGCAATATGAAGGAAGCGCTCGAACGATTCCAATTTAGCGGCGACGGCAAGGTGCGCCACCTCGTTTTTCAATCGTTTTGATTCTCGAACGTAGATTGATTTTCGGGAATTCGAGAGCCTCAACCAGCAGTTCCCGACGCTTCTATACCCCGTGTACCGCCTCCAAGAGAACCTCAGAGCCTACTCGATGGGCGAAGCATGGTGGACGAAGCGTGCAGTTCTTCTCCAAGCCATCAAAGACGAGAAAGACAAGCCCGAGGGCGAGAGCAAAGAAGCCATCGCGGCCAAGCGCCGCGCCCAGCTCGCGTTGGCGCGGTGCGTTTATAACCACGAGACTGTCGGCGCGAAGACGCCATGGCTAGGAGGAAAATGGGTTGCTTTCGATACTACTTTTGCCCGTGCCGGCGTAGCAAGTACATGGTCGATGAGGACGCGGTCACCGAGGCGGCGCTCATCGAAGAAGCCAAGAGGCGCGAGATCGAAGCTCAGAAGAAGAAGCTCGAAGAAGCCATGGAAGCGCGAGCCGTACTTCTATCCTCGGCGCGTTTGTACGCTGACGAGCTGCGTGTTTCTAGCGAAAGGAGCGGCTACAAGCCAAGCGCAATGTGGTTGCCGCCGACGGTCGACCTGTCATGTCCAAGGAGCAACGCAAGGAGCGCGCCAAGAAGCGGCGACAGCGCGATATGAAAGACCTTCCGACGCGCAAATGACAAGGCATCGACGAGTTGTACACAGTGCGTCTCTGGGTTGAAACTTACGTCGTACTATTGATGGTTCGATGTTGTTGCGAGTCGCAGACACGATGTGGTGTTGCTGTTTATGCTGGGGTTAGGGCTACTCGATTTTGCTAGAGGTGGCTAATGGGAATGGCCCGTGCAAAGCGCTGTAGAGTGATCGGTTTGGTCAAATTTGTGGGTACCGCAATGACGCGCCACGTCTTGATGTCGAGGATGTACAAGGTGTCATCATACTCGACACTCAGTAGCCCGGCGAGAACGGCAGACGTCTTGTCCAAATAGACGTCGCCGTGGTACGTCCAGTGCGACCAGTCAAGCATGTACAAGCTCTGCGAGTTCAGGACGAGCGAGTGCACGTTTCGCCGTGCAAGGTGCGGCTGCAGCGTGCGCTCGAGTCGATAGCACAGCGCGACGCAAGCACACGCAATGAACACGACACTGAGAACGCCGCGCGGGGACCCAATGTGAATGGCGGCGCTGGTACACACCAGCCCCGCATCCATGTCAACGTAGGTGCAGCTTCGGTCCAAGGCGGCCGTGTACGAGACGGGTGCCACGAGTGTCCAAATCGACACCACCGCGTACGTCAAAAGCGAGCTCTTGTAGGCATAGGTCGTCGTGTACTCGAGCGTGACGCAGCTGCCAAGGTCGTTCAGTGCGTAGACGAGCCACGTGCTTTCCCCGGCCGCAAGGATCGTCTGGTACCAAGGAAGTGGTGGCGAGCGCATGAGCGTGACTTGGCCCACTTGTTGTAGCCGCAGCGGCGATGTGTTGAGCATCCAAATTGCCGTGATGCTTCGCAGGAGGAGGAACGAGCGACCGGCCCAGACGTGCCCCACGATGCGGTTGATTTCGTACAAGTTGTTGCCCTCCAGGTGTCCTCGTTGACCAACGCTGTAGAGCGTCACGAGTCCCGCGATCGAGATGAGCAGCCCCGTCATGTAAATGGTGCAGCCGAGGAGAAAAGTGGCAAAGCTGACTGGAATCTCGTTCGGGTCGGGGCTCCCCCGGATGAGCATCGCACCCGATGAAATGGATGCAATCGCACCCGCGTCGCCTTGAAACAAGACGACTTCACGCCGACCGTCCAGCCACTCGAAGACGTGGCACCAGCCGTAGAACGCCCAGAGAGGCTCATTCGGCTCGAGCAAGTTGATCTGGTACAGCAGCGTGTCTGCGTCGTCAAACGTTGCCGTGTAGTACTGAATCGTTTGAATGTTGAGAGCATAAAGGACGTCATGTGCTTCGGTGGCGACGGCTTGTAATGCATCGAACGTCGCTGCATAGTCGGCGAGAAAGCGCATGGTCCGAGTAAAGCCGATGGGACACAAGGGGGAGAGACCCGAGCACGGATCAATGGCGCAGAGCGCACTGGCATCTGGTACGATGCCAGTGCTCGCGCGTAGACTGAGAAACGCAAAAATGAGCTCGGCGCGGGAGGGTACCATCGTGTCCAAGAAGAGAGCGTGACACGCACTGGACGCGCCAAAGTTGCTCAGGCGGCCGTAGAATGCTGGCTCTTGCGGAACGTCGTTGCCGCACATGAGGTTGCCGCCGTTCGCCATGAGCGAGAGATCGTTGTTTAAGAACGGTGGCAGCGAACAGACGCGGGGCTTGGCAGGGAGAGCAAAGTAACTTGTCTGCGCGAGCGCGTCAGTGACGAGGAGGGTGTTGAGCGCTTGATGAAAGTTGTTGTAGAGCTGAAGCCCCGCGAGTGGACACGAGATATAGTGCATATCAACCGCACCAAACGGCCCGATCGTCGCCTGTAGCACGATCAAACCAGGTGTCAATGGCTGGAGAAGGGTTAGGTTTTGGAACAAGACGTCTTGACTCGAGGCATTCGTAAACGCAAAGCGAGGACTCGATGCGAGAAGACTGTAGCCTCCAATCAATGACGTGTTGGTAGCAATGGCCCAGAGATCGCTCGCGAACGCCCAGTACATTCGGTGGGATGTCTGCTGCAGAAGATGAAAGCTGGCATCCGACCGACTCAGCGTCAGCGACGACGTGTAGCCTAGCGCAGATGTGATTGAGAAGGTGTCGATCATGCCAATCGTCTTGTAGTTTTGCCACTGCAGCTGGAATCGAGTAAGGTTGTAGCGACGCCAGAGAGCCACTTCGTCATTGACCGAATTGGTGTTGAGTTTGAGATTCGTGAGCCACTGCTGACCACGTTGCGAGGTCTGAAGGTGCGCAACAAAACCAATCTCAAACGACGAGCCCCAGCAGCGGTCCCACGCAGTCCAGTCGCGAATGTTACGAAGAGGAATCTCCAAGTACACGGCGCCATTGTCCATCTGTGAGGCAACACATCGCGCTTGGCGCCTTGTGGTGCTAGCCATGGCCCAATGCCGATCCAAGTCGAGCCAGCAGTACTGCGTAAGCATCCACGGCAGCATGCACGGGTTCATGTCTCGAAGGCCTTGCACAAAACGAGTCAGAGGCACGCTGGCGTCCATGAGCTGGCGCCGGGGGGCATGTGCACTCCAGGCAATAGAAGCCACCGAGCCGTTGTAGAGCTGCGAGATGTCGGCAAGCGCGGTGCTGGTCAAGTCGAGCGTCGTGTTGGTTGAGATGAGGAGCTGCTGGTTGAAGGCATTGGCCAAGAAGGCGTGCATGCCGGTGCTGTTGAAGCCCGCCCAGCCAAAGTCGTTGGCCAAAAACGTCTGCGCGACCGTGAGGAAGGCGACGTTGGAAGCGAGGCTGAAGATCGTATACAGGACACCCCCTAGTAGCACCAGCCTGGCCACACGTTGTCGACTTCGCACAATAGGCTCATAATCGGAGTCGGTCCGAGCAAAGACGGGAAGGGCGGACGACGGGCCGGCATGCACCAAGCGTATTTGGTGACGCTCCATGACAAATCTGTCGGCGGGCAGTGGCAGCCAGAGCTTGGTATCAAAGAGGCCATAGCGAGGAATGGACAAGATGCCGCACATGGCCGCCGACACAATGTTAAGGGACGCGATGCGACCGTGCAGCGTCTCGTTGTGGTCCAGAAACGCCGTCGCAGCCGACGGAAGGACGAACGATGGAATGTGCGCGTCGATGACGACGACGGAATTCCGATACTGAGCGTACACACGAGCGACGCTGTAGGTGACGACAAGGGACCCGACGAGCACAGCTATCTGCAATAGAGTGCGCTGGACATGTCCAATTTGGATGCTGCCGCTGTTGCAGTAAAGCATTTGGTCCATGTTTTGCGAAAAGCACGCACGATGGAGCGTCGTGGCCATCTCAACGGGCGCTGCGACGTCCAGAAGCGCTAGCACCAACCACGCCACGCCAGAGCTCCACGGCGCGTACGTGGCTGTCAAAGCGCCCGTGAGAGGGTGCAGCATCTCGTGTACGACGTAGGTGATCCACGTGGCTTCACCAGCGAGGACGCAAGAGACGAAGAACGATCGAGGCACGCCTCGAGCCACTGACCAGTTGCATTCGCCATTGGCTGCACGCTCGCCGACGCCAAGCACACGATCGCCGAGAGACCGCGAACCGTCAACAACGTCCTGTTTAGCCACGTAGCGCTCGTGATGCGCTGAAACTTGAACCAAGGTGAGTGCATTGGTCGGTGGTAGAGCCAGAGACCAATAACGAGAATCGCCAGACCGAGCAGCGTGAGACTCACGAGCACAGAAGAGTACCAAAAGTAGATGCCAAAGCTGGAGCTGATGACGTATGGCGCCAGTGGCATCGGTGGCATCCTCGATGACATGAGTACGAATCGGCCATAGTCACCTTCGAATGAGACGACCTCGCGGGTGTTCATCGCCCACTCGTAGACGCTCACCCAGCCAAAGAAAGCAAATGAAGAATCAAGCAGACGCTGCGTCTCAATCACAGGCGACGCATTGCGGCCGACAAACTGCATGAGCTGCAGTGGCGGAAGCGACGACGTCGGTAAACGAAGCTCTGAGAGAGATGGCACAAGCGTTGCGGTGGCCTTGAGAGTGTGCAGTGCCGTGACGCAACCATGTATCTCGGCGGCAGGCAGAAGCGCGCAGATGGAAGCGGTGGCGTTGGCGTCACTGAGCATCGTCCAGGCAAAGAGACTAGCGAGCGGCGACAAAGTGTACGCCAGCGCCTTTTGCGTGCCACACGAATCGTCAAAGCCAAACGACTCTTGGACGAAAGTGAGGCCGACACCAAAGCCACACGTGGGGTTGCCGCCGTAGAAGAGGAGTGCCGGATCTTGCCACTTGAGCGGCGTCGGATGAAGCTCCACCGTGCCGATTGCATCGAGCGCCGGCGCCAAAGCTATGTCGGACGCGAGATGCGCCAACAAAAGTGACCGAAAGACCTGGACTGTGGTGTAAAGTTCGGATGGGATCGGTACCCAGAGCACATCGATAGTGGCCATGGGACCGATCTGATTGTGCACGGCTTGAAAGGACGGTGGGAGCGGGTACGCGACGGCACTGTTCTCCATTAAGTTGGTGTTGGCGAGACCAAAGAAGGTGCTGGCGTTTTGAACGAGGCTTTGGTTACCGCCGGGGACGTTTAAATTGGTCTGGAGCGACGGAAACATGTAGTCGCACGTCCAGAGCGTGCCACGATGAATACTCGCAACGCTCTTGAGGCGATGCGGCCAGACGTAGCCCAGAGCATTCTGGATCTGAATGTCTTCTTGCAGACCAATTTGGTACTGGTTGGCGTACTGCAGCACAAAATACGAAAGGCCCGCGTTCGACCAGACTCGGACTTCGTCGTGCACATCCAGCATCTGATGCGACGCC